GTTCGGCCCCCGAAAAATGAACATAGACACAACAAACACTAAAGTACGATTAGTTAAAACCAGTGATGTTAAAATTACTTTATAATATGTAATTAATTACAATTACAATTACTTTTGGCAATTTGTAATTAATTGCAATTACAATTACAAAATTTGAGAATGTAATTACAATTACAATTAAAGTTACAATTACAATTACAATTACTTTGCTTTGGTGTCAGTTTTAAATAATTATTTAGGGATTTGCAAACGGAATTACACTTTCCACGTATTGGAAATATTAAATAAGTACTTTTGTGTCCAATGTAATTGAAATGTAATTGTAAAATGTTATTGTAATTGTAACGAAAGGAGTAATTGAATTACAAATGAATTACAATTGAGACTCTTGTAATTAATTACCGCCTCAATTACAATAAAAGTAATTCAATTACTTTTTCAATTACTTGTAATTAATTACTTAACAACACTGGTTAAAACGCTGTCTTGCACCAAATTCGAACTAAACGATAGTTAATTAAACTAGCGTTTAAATTTAAACTTCGCTTAAGTTCATTAACGTTGCACCATTTATAAAAGTTAAGAGTTTTAGTTAATTTATAACTTTTTGGGGTTAAATAAAATGTGGACAACCACCCAGCGATCCCATAACCCTGGAAAACCTGCTTCAATAATTTTTTTGTTGTAATAAAATTCAATATTCAATTCCATATAGAGCTGTTAATGCTGGTTTCTGTTTTGTCGCCATATAGAAGGTCACCTGACGGGGTAACAAACGGTAGAAAAAAAACAAGAGTTATCTTTATTAATAAAATTATGAAGACGATCACGTTCCCATAACCCTGGAAAACCTGCTCCAATAATTTTTATAATAAAATTCAATATTCCGAGCTGCTAATACTAGTTTTCGGTTTACACATTTTGCTCCGGTCACCAGACAAGGTCACTCACGGTCAAGAAGAAACGTTGGTTTAAATACCACCCATAGTAAGAATTCAGTTCAGTTCAACACAAAATGCAGTGCAGTAAATGTAACCGAGAGTTTTCAAACAAGTATAATTTACGTCGCCACCAATTAAAATGTGGTGTAAAAATTAAATGCAAAAAATGCAATTGTGATTTTTTTAAATATATACAACAACATACATGCAGCTTAAAGTGCAACGAGTGTAATAAAGAGTTTTCAAAAAATATCGAGCAGGATATTAAGGAAAATACAGAGCAGGATACCGAGCAGGATAACGAGCAGGATAATGAGCAGGATATCGAGCAGGATAACGAGCAGGATCAACTTGAGAATATGGATGAAAATGATAGTGATGATGAAATTGATGAAGAAACGAAACAATCTGTAACCATTGTGTATAATAGTATGCGTGTTTTGAAGCAAAAATTAAAACGGTATAATGAGAAACGTGATAAGTATAATAAAAAAGTAAATTTTATACGAAACTTATTAAACGTTTTATAAGTCACTGTCAAAAATGTTTGTAAAAATTTTAAACTAATAAAAAGTTTATTAACAATTATTTTTTATTTATTTTCATAAGTAATTATAATATATTGTTGGAAGTAAATAATACTATGGATACATATACTAAATTTGTTTTTTATTCACTACTAATTTATTAACAAACTAAAACCATGATAAAAATAATATAACAGCTAATACAAAAGCGAAAAAAGCTAATACATGCAAACAGCGACTTGAGGGTTAAATGCATATATTAGGGATGCAAGTGCGGAGCAAAATCAGCAACTGGTTTTGCATGTATATGGGGATTCAAAAGGGGAGCAAAATGAGCAACAGGTGCTTGACCTTGAGGGTCATTTACAATGCATGTTTATGGGGATTCAAACGGGGAGCAGACTGAGTAACAGGTGCTTAACCTGACCTTGAAAAAACCGGTTACTCAGTCTGCTCCCCTTTTGAATCCCCATATACTAACTACTTATGTTTATATGAACTTTTAGTCATAAAATAATCCAAGCAATCACCCCCTTTCGGATGTACACGATGTTTAGGAACCCCTTGTATAAGTGGTGCAACATAAAAATTGAATTTAACTCGAGTTTAGCATTAAACTACGTTTGAATCCCATTTGGTGCAAGAGCCCGTAAGTACATTTATTATCTAGCACTTTAAACGTTTTGAATTTATCGTAGATTTTGTTAACGGAGCCGCAGATAAACTCGCAGATAAACGCTACGATAAACACTGAGAAAATGTTACAGGTGATGTTCGAGAAATACGATTTCGCAGGCGTTCAGGTCGCCAATCAAGCCATGTTAACGCTGTACACCTATGTAGGTTTGTTATTTGTTATTTGTATGAATAAAAAGAATTAAAAGCGCCCAAGCACGCCCTCAAATTCGTAATTTTAGGGGGTAATATAGAACTATTTTTGGTTAAAAGGGCCGGATTATCAATTGAGGGATAACTCGCCGAGTTAGCCAACCTTGGGTTATCACTAACTCTGGGCTAAATTGCGAGTTAAGAATAAAAGTGTTTATCCAAGCTTTTTTAACTCTGGGCTAGCAAACCTACGAAATGCTGAAAGGTTATTTACATTATAGCAATACATTATAGCTGTTGAAACATTGGCAACGTTGTATTGTGCTCGTTTTTGACATTTCTTGACTGTCATAACCTAACTTTTTTTGGTTTTGAATATTTCTAATGAAAATTAGAAGTCAGAATAATTAAATATGGCGGATAGGAGAGAATTGAATTTTTCCGAATTCGAAAAAAAACTTATTTCTAGGAAATTTTACCATGTCTTCTATGGGCTCTAAAATAAGCAAAAATCACTAGCGAAAAAATCATGTTTATAAAAAAATCTTCAAACGGATTTTCCCGTGGCCTTGAAATATAAATATAACCTATAAATTCTAGAACGTCTTCGTAGTCATCGCTAAAATCTAGGTCTTCCATAGGATTTACTTAAAAACAATGAAAAAATGCGTTTGACAACAGAAAAACACGCAAATTTTAGGTTAACTCAGAGTCAAATCCACAAACCTGCCAAATTTGCGCAAGTTAAGATAACCCAGGGATATCCCTCGAGTTAACAGTTAACCCTTGGCAGTTTAACAAAGGGTTATCTTTAACTTGAGGGGTAACCCTCAATTGATAAACCGGCCTTAAGAAGGGCGTTGAGTTTTGGTAACACAATTTCAGTTGGCAGCAATGAAAATAAGCATGATTTTACGAAAAGGATATATCAATTTTTCCCAGGATAATTTAATAAGGGGGTAACGGCATTTCGAGGTGGAAGAGGGTTCCATTTTAGTGACGTATGAAAAGTCGCAATCGTCAGTCTGGCGCGAAAATTTAAATTCTATAGTTCATATAAACGATGAAAGACCAATATCTTTCTCTTCGTTTATAAATAAAAGTCAAATTTATGCAAAAATAATGAAATTGTAAGTGTTTGAAGGTAGACATTTTTCAGCTATTTTGTCTGACAGACGAGTACCTAGCTATAGATAATAGAAGCATATTGTAAAAATTTGAAAACGATATTCTTTATATTTTTTGAGATATCCATTTTTCTACAATAAAGATTAGAGATTAGATAACTCGCTAGTAGATGTTCCAGGTTTATTACAGTTGACATAAAATCAAACGTACAAGAAAGTAAAATAAGAAATATTTTCAGATTTTTTTTTAAATTCAATTCTTTTCCCTGCAATTTGAATAGATAAAAGTAGGGTTTTTAAAATAGTCATTAAAGTGCTCTAATAGTATTCCGGTGCACTGGAAATACCTTATTTCATATTACCTGCCCTTAAAAAAGCGCAAATTTTCCAAAAATCTCTGAAAAACGAAACTACTGGCACCGTTGTCGCTAGTCAATTTACTAAAAAATTTGCAGTAATCTATCATCATTTGCTAAAATACTTTAATTTGTTTTTTTCAATTTACTACAGCCTGTGGATCAATATAAACTAGGAGACATCGTTCTGCAATAAATAATCTACATCCTACTAAAATTATTCACTAATCCCTTCGAGGAAACTCGAGTCTTACTAGAATTACGTTTTGCCATTTAAATAGCATTGCAAATATATTTCAGTTTTTGATTGCAATTTTCTTAAATATATAATGAAGCAGGATAGATTAAAAACAGGACATTTCATTGCTCGGAGTCTCTACATTAGGTACAAGAAAGATTCAAATCAATTGATGAAGCCACATTTGAATCTTACTGGAATTACTGAACCTATGTTTCCCCATTTAAAAATTTTCCTTAATTCGAACATTCCTGCAGGGACTTTTGTCGGGCGTTGTAGTCGATTCCGGTGTCGGTACCACCCGCATTTGCCCGATTTACGAGGATTGCAATCTTCATCATCTCACCAGAGGCTTGGACATCGCCGGTCGAGACATCACCAGATATCTAATCAAATTGATGGTGCTCAGAGGGTACGCTTTCAATGACTCGACCGATTACGAAACCGTAAGTACCACAAAACATACACCTTGCTTCATTTCCGATTTACAATACGGGGCCTGTTTCATATAACTGACAAGTCGACAAGTTACAAGTGTTGGTTGACAAGTATTTAAAAATTTCGGTTCATAAAATAAATTTCGACACTTGTCGAATTAAATTTTTGGCATCTGTTTTTCTACAACTGTAATATTAATTAAACGTCGGGCTTAAGCCAAAAAGAAAAAAATAGTACTTACTATACTGAGGAGCATAAGCATAGCACAACCTTCGTTTTTCGATATTGGGAGACTTTTACTTTGAAATTGTTTTTTTTTTCTGGTTGGAGCTATTTTTAGATGTGAACCACGACAATGTCGTTTATTGACAAAAAACTTATTTCTAAAATGCAGCAACATTTATTTAATATTCAATTATTTTAATAAAGAAAGGGCATTCTATTTGGAAAATTTAGTCCCACTTCTACAAAAGTTATAAAATGTGAGCATTGGAACGAACAAAGACAATGCATTAGGCGGGGACAAATAGATTTTATTATTTCCTCCATTTTTATCGAATTCATTCTAAATCTTTTATTAAACTTTAAACTTTAAGCCATTAAGCTTCCTCCTCACTGTCGCTAGACCACATTTTCTTTTAAATTTACAAGTAAATTGGATGGTGACAGGAAATCAAATCCCTGTCGCTTTACACTAATATATGATAGGAATAAATGACAAGTGTTGTTTAATTTATTTTTTATGAAACGCAAACCTATCTACAATTGTAAAAGCAGACTTGTAATATTAGGCTAGTCTCTTGTCACTAATAATCTACTCGTGTAATTTTATGAAACACAAACTTGTCAAATACTCCAGTCAAATTTAGACTACACTTCTTCGACAGGACTTGTCATTTATATGAAACAGGCCCATGGTCATTTCTATGAGTGGAACAAAGAAAGATTATTAAAATGATAGTTGTCAGAGTGAAAAGTTGCAATGACACAATGTCAGTCTTTCTTTTTCCTTTATAAGTGTCTAATGGAAGTTGCCTTTATCGCACCTATATGACTTGTATAAACTATATGCAATCAAAAATGGAGCAACCTGTATATAAACAAGAAGGGTCAATGCCGTGAGAATCTCAAAGCGTGTAGTACTTGGTTTTCTATTCGACTTTTTTCTTATGACTGATTAGATTATGATTAGATTATATGACATTATATTATACATACAGATTATACATTATTCAATTTTTGTAGAACTTGTACAATTTACTATATTAATATAATTATACAAAATGCTGAATGCATAAAATTTTATATAATTAAATTAATATAGATGGTATACATTGTATAAGTTCTACAAAAATTGAATAATATAATAGTAATTCTCACAAAATAATTGAAGACAAAAACGTTTCGTTTAATAAAAATGTATTAAAAAAAACTTACAAAATTGATGAATTCAATTAGCGAACTAATTAAAAGTTAATAATGTATATAAAAATGTTAAATACATACTTCAAAATCAAAATAATTCCAAACTAATAATTGGTAAACCAATCGCGTCCTTCGAAATCGATCACGTGTCATAAACAAATATGGCCGACGATTACAAAAAACTAACCTAAAATTTTTCTAATGCAAAATTTAATACGAAGTAAAAGTATAGGGTAGCGATCATTTTTCTATTTTAAACGAATAAAGTTACCAAACTACTTGGTAACTAAAATTTAGTGATAAAATGGATATTTTATGCAGTATTTGCAAGGTAATTTTTAACTTCGGTGCAGATCTACAAGTTTATTACATGTTTGTTTACAATAAAAACAGAGTGTAGTATGCAACATTATTTAAAGAATTCATTGATGTACAAGAATTATTACATAACTTCCTCAATTTTGAATAACATTTAAATATACATTATCGGATCTGTTATGTGCCTAAGTATGCATGAATAGAATTTTTATTTAACTATGGTAATAATATAAATGGTATCATCATAAAGTTGATACCATACAGAATCATACTACATTATGAAAAAACTTAGATAAAGTCTACCTATTTTAAATTTACTTGCACGAAAGGAGAGTGTATTTTTAAACGTATTATTATGTTTGTTCCTACAAAAAGTCACTGATTTGTTACCAATAAATTTCTGACTCTTCTATTTCGCATGCGCGGTTTATGATTGAATGGTGTAATCAAATATCCGATTTCTTGATAGAACAGTCTTTACATTTATTGCATATTCACTAAATATCAAACAAAAACAACATAACCTAATAATTAACTATATATTCGTGTAATGGACCTTCGTGGAAATTAGACAGGAACTCAAAGTCACTTTTGTTTCACTTAATAAAACACTTTATTTAACTTAAATTAATATTGAAATAAGAAATAGAACATCAGAGTAAAATAGTTATTCTGAGATTTAGTAATAGACCCTGTTAGGTCGGAGTCGAAATAGGAACTATATATCTTTTTTATCGAATTACATTCTTATATTTATAGCTAAAGACAAAAATTATCTAATCAGTAATTACATTTCGGAAACATCGGAGAAAGTAGTCTTTGGACCTTAAGGAAATTTAGTATCATTATTTATTAACATTAGGGTCGTTACTTTTATTTAATTTAGTTTATAATTGGTTCAATATTGTCTATAGATTGCGTTTCTCGAATTTCTAATCACTACTGATTAATGAACTAATACTAATACGGGGTGTTGAGTGTTGAGGTACATTACATTCGGAAATACAAATTATAAACCCGAATTGAAAATGCGCTTGCGCCGGACTCTAACTATCTCTGTACTATCAGCAAATTTTTCTGACTATCACAAAACCAGTCCCTTGAACTGTTGGAACTATAAATTGTCAGAGATGTCTGTGGAGTTTGTTAGAAGGCCTAAATTATGACTGCACAGACTCCTGACGATCACCGGCTATTTCTGACTGTTGTAGGAACAAACCTATTTCACCGCCATTTGTCAGTAAACGCAGCCATAACAATCCATTCTAAATAAATAAAATACACTGTGCTTCATTCCAGATCGCAACATAGGTTATATAGGCCATGGGTGCGATAAAGACAACTTCCATTAGACACTTAGTACACTTACAAAGGAAAAAGAAAGAGTGACTATTGTTTCATTGCAACTTTTCACTCTGACAGCTGTCATTTTATACATCTTTCTTTGTTCAACTCATAGAAACGACCATGTTATTGCGGTCTGAATTGAACCAATCGGTATATCGATTCTCGCAGGTGAACATGATGAAAGAGAAATTGTGCTACATCGGCTACGACGTGAAAACCGAGCGACGTCTCGCCCTCGAAACCACCGTACTCGTCGAGCCCTACGCCCTGCCCGACGGGCGCGTTACCAAACTAGCCGGCGAGCGATTCGAAGCCCCCGAAGCGCTATTTCAACCCCATTTAATCAACGTAGAAGGCCATGGCGTAGCCGAACAAGTCTTCGACGCGATTCAAGTAAGTAATCGCTATATCGAATGCACAGCGAGACGCCGAAAGGGGTCTTTAACAGTCTCCCTTTGACAGTCTCCACATTTTCGCTTGTAGAGGAGTACTAATGTCCGATTTCACCAACCAGTTTCTAAAGTTAGGTAATACCTAAACCGGATTTAGGAATTCCTAATCCCCGATTTCACCAACATGTTTTTAGGCATTTCCTAAGTAGGTAATTTCTAAGGTAGGAATTACTTAAATCGAATTTCACCAACATTAGATGCTCGATTTCACCAACATGTGTTTAGGCATTTCCTAAGTAGGTAATTCCTAAGGTAGGAATTACTTAAATCGAATACTTTACCTAAATTGAATTTCACCAACATTAGATGCTCGATTTCACCAACCAGTTCCTAAAGTTAGGTAATACCTAAACCGGGTTTAGGAATTCCTAATCCCCGATTTCACCAACATGTTTTTAGGCATTTCCTAAGTAGGTAATTCCTAAGGTAGGAATTACTTATGCCCGATTTCACCAACCAGTTCCTAAAGTTAGGTAATACCTAAACCGGATTTTGGAATTCCTAAGTACAAATTGCGTTTCACCATGCACTAAGTAATACCTAAAGGTAATAGGAAATGCCTAAAGTTAGGACAACTCACTGGGCTTGCCTAAAACATTTAGGAAATACTTATGCCCGATTTCATCAACATGTTGTTAGGTATTTCCTAACTAGGTAATTTCTAAGTTAGGAATTACTTAAATCGAATACTTATCTAAATCGAATTTCACCATCATTAGAAATCCCTTACTAAGAAATATCTAGGTAAAAATTTGGTTTCGACAATTTTTTGAATTTTATTGGCAGCATTGGCTAATTTTGGCGTGTAAACCGAATAAGCGGAGATTGAAATTGAATATGTTGAGAGAAAAGAAGAGATGTTGATGATCCGGGCCATCTTTAAACTATGTTTGTTATTTTTAAATCTGCTGAAGATGTATTCTGTACATTATTAGAAAAATAACCTTTCCGATTTGTAAAATATTTCTACATCTTCTTCTCCAGGACTATGGAACTTTACATGCATGTGTACGGTCAATAGTTCCAAAAGGTTCTTGTGTATTAAATTAAAAATCATCTTCAATTCATTATAATATTTGTAATGTCGTATTTTTATATATCGAAAAAGGCGAAAAAAAATCAGTTTCGTCCAGTTTCTAAAAACTCTCCTCCCATTTTAAATTTTCATCTAAAGAGTCTAAAGACAGTCAAGACTTAAGTCACATGAAATCACATAAAAAGTATGGTTAAGTATTTCCTAAATTTTTTAGGCAAGCCCAGTGAGTTGTCCCAACTTTAGGCATTTCCTATTACCTTTAGGCCTAAAGTTGGGACAACTCACTGGGCTTGACTCAAAATTTAGGAAATACTTAACCATACTTTTTTATGTGATCTTCTTGTGACTTAAGTCTTGACTGTCTATAGACTCTTTAGATGAAAATTTAAAATGGGAGGAGAGTTTTTAGAAACTGGACGAAACTGATTTTTTTTCGCCTTTTTCGATATATAAAAATACGGCATTACAAATATTAGAATGAATTGAGGATGATTTTTAATTTGATACACAGGAAGTTTTTGGAACTATTGACCGTACAAATGCATGTAAAGATCCATTGTCCTGGAGAAGAAGATGTAGAAATATTTTACAAATCGGAAAGGTTATTTTTCTATCAATGTACAGACTACATCTTGAGCAGATTTAAAAATAACAAACATAATTTAAAGATGACCCGGATCATCAACATCTCTTCTTTTCTCTCAACATATTCAATTTCGATCTCCGCTTATTCGGTTTACACGTCAAAATTAGCCAATGCTACCAATAAAATTCAAAAAATTGTCGAAATCAAATTTTTACCTACGTATTTCTTAGTAAGGGATTTCTAATGTTGGTGAAATTCGATTTAGGTAAGTATTCGATTTAAGTAATTCCTACCACAGGAATTACTTATGGCGTTTTCCATTGGTAAAATACTGCGCACTGAAAGTGCACTGAAAGCCAAATTTTTGGTTCATTTGGTGGACTGTGCAAGTGTTTCGATTTCCAAAAGTCTTTTTAGTGGCCAGATTGCCAATGGAAATCAAAACACTCGCACACTCCACCAAATAAACCAAAAATTTCGCTTTCAGTGCACTTTCAGTGCGCACTATTTTACCAATTTAAAAACGCCATTAGTTAGGAAACGCCTAACAACATGTTGGCGAAACCGTGCATTAATCGATAGGTTTTCGTTAGGGGGCCGATGTCGATAAGAGATCGGTGCTGTACAAGCACATCGTGCTGTCGGGAGGTTCGACGATGTTCCCGGGGCTGTCGATGCGGCTGGAGCGCGAGCTCAACCAGCTGTACCTCGAGCGGGTGCTGCAGAACGACGTGAGGAAGTTGGACGAGTCCAAGATCCGCGTCAACGCGAACCCATGGAGGAAACACGCGGTGTTCCAAGGGGGCGCCTTGCTGGCACAATGTATGAAGGACGATAACGACTATTGGCTGTCGAAGCGGGAGTACGAGGAGAGCGGGTCGTTGCTGTTGAAGAAGAAACTCATCGCGAGGGGCTTGTGGTGATTTTGTTGGTCGAGGTTCAATTATACACTGTTGGAAAATTATTCGCGCGTAATAGGGAAATCAATGTTAAATTCTTAGCCGGCTGGAATACAGTCTGCCGGTGTAGATTTCAATAGAACGTGTCGCGATTAATTCTAATAAATTTAATTGTTCTACTGGACTTCACACCGCGATTTGTAGAGGTTAGATTAAAAATCAAATAATTACGACGGTTTCGACACTTCGACAGTATCAAAACGGGTTGGGATGGGTGAACGTCGAGTCGATTACAAAGAAATGAGAATTTTTAAACGATAATTTATTGAATAAATATCACAGATATTAAAATAGAATTATGTAGATATGTCTTTTTGCCACAATGGCTTGAAAAAGAAAGTAAATTCTAAGAAAATAATAAAAAGGAAACTCCAAATATAAACTTAAAGATTATTTTAAAACAGAAAATAAAAGAACTCTAAAAAATAGTCCACCGCTTTCTGCTAAACTTTAGCCAAACCTGTCATACATATGTCATCCCATATTACTGAGCTGAGGTATAATTCTAGCTGAAAATTGAATTATTTTTTTCCTTATTTCAACAAAATTTGTTGCTGTTTCAAAACTGTACCTACCGATACACACATTTTTTGAAATATCCCCAAAAAAACCTATTAAATGTAGTTTCTAAATAATTTTGTACCTCATACCTAACACAAATAACTTTGTACCTCTACAAATCGCGGCGTGCGATCCAGTAGAACAATTAAATTTATTAGAATTCATCGCGACGTTCTATTGAAATGTACACTGGTAGACTGGATTTTAGCCGGCTAAGAATTTAACATTGATTTCCCTATTATGCGCGAATAATTTTCTAACAGTGTATATTGAATGTTATGTTAAAAGTTATGTTGGAAGTTATTAGTTTATGCCTAAAGACATTACAACTAAGGGCCGGTTTATCAATTGAGGGATAACTCGCCGAGTTAGCCAACCCTGGGTTACCTCTAACTCTGGGCTAAATTGCGAGTTAAGAATAAAAGTGTTTATCCAAGCTTTTTTAACCCTGGGCTAGCAAACCCACGAAATGCTGAAAGGTTGGTAATACATTATAGCCGTTGAAACTTTGGCAACGTTGTTTTGTGCTTGTTTTTGATATTTCTTGCATATACCTATTAACTATAATTATACTGCTAACTCCCTATCCATTTCATGAGAGAAAATCGTAGCGATTAAAGAGAGAGATCCGACCCAACTGTGGTGTGCTTAGTCGTTTATACGCAAGCGCGTTAATTTTAAAAGGACCAATAGCGAGTAGCTGAGGCCTAAAAAGAAAAGATAGAAAATAATACTTGAAATCGTGTTTAAATTCGGTAACCTGACATATTTACACAGGCAAGTCAAAGTCGATTTTAAAAATATATTAAAAAATATACCAAAATAAAAGCTAGCACGTTTCTGACGTTTCATTTGCTCTGTCAAAAGTAGCCAATCAAGAAATCTTTCACTTGAGCATGAGCATAAATAAGCAAGCACACCACAGTATATTGTTTGCAACGGTTTTAGACCATTATTAGCGGTATAGGAGTTAATAGGTATATGATTTCTTAACTATAATAACCTAACTTTTTTGGTTTTGAATATTTGAAATGAAAATTAGAAGTCAGAAGAATAAATATGGCGTATATCGAGAAAATCGAATTTTTCTGAATTGGAAAAAAAAACTTGTTTTTAGGAAATTTTACCATGTCTTCTATGGGCTTTAACACAAACAAAACAAAACGGTTTCTTTTTTAATCGAAAGCGAGCGAAAAAATCATGCTCATAAAAATATTCAAACGGATTTTGCCGTGGCCTTACAATATAAATATTACCTATAAATTCTAAAATCTAGGTCTTCCATTGGTTTTACTTAAAAACAATATAAAATGCGTTTGACAACAGAAAAACACGCAAATTTTAGGTTAACCCAGAGTCAAATCCACAAACCTGGCAAATTTGCGCTAGTTAAGATAACCCAGGGGTATCTCTCGAGTTAACAGTTGACCCGCGATGGAAAAACACTTTTGGCAGTTTAACTCAGAGTTATCTTTAACTCGAGCGGTAACCATCAATTGATAAACCGGCCCTAAGAGACTTATGCCCATTTGCACCAAAACATTTAAGCAGTCCTTAGGGGTAAGGATCTATAAGTTATTTTAATTACTTTAATAACAATTTAAGTTATTTATCTTAATTTCTGGATATAATACAATATGATTAAAATAAAATTAAAAAAAAAAAACGTTTCAATCCGGTGTTTATTTGGAATAAACTATTGTGGTATCGTAGGGGTAGAAATAAAATACTGCTCTTTAGTATAAAAAGTATTCAGGTAGGTTTGTAGCTAGAATGACAAGTTAGATAAGACCGGTATTTGACAGGATGCGAAACAACTTGCTGTACGTGGGTAGGGTGAAAAGTTCTCGGCCTGGATCATTTAGAACTGTCTATAACAATTTAGAACGATCCAGAATCAATTAGAACTGTCTAAAACCATTTAGAACGCTCCAGAATTATTTGGGATTGTCTAGAACCATTTAGAACGCATCAGAATCGTTTATATAACGTTTATATAACGCTCCATATTCTTTAAGAACGCTTCAGAATCATTTAGAACCATATAGAACGTTCCAGAATTATTTAGAACTGTCTAGAACCATTTGGAACGCTCCAGATTCATGTAGAACTGTCTAGAGCAATGTAGAACTAGAACACTCAGAATCATTTAAAATTATCTAGAACCATTTGGCACGTTCTAGAAGCATTTAGTACTGCCTAGAACCACTTAGAATGCTCCAGAACCGTTTAGAACACTCCAGACGGATTTAGAATGCTCCGGAATCGTTTAGAACTGCCTAGAACCATTTAGAACCCTCCAACACTATTCAGAACAATGTAGAGGCCCCATATATTCATTTAAAACGGTTGGAAACCATTTAGAATGCTCCAGAACGATTAAGAACTGTCTAGAACGCTCTAGAATCATTTAGAACTGTCTAGAGCAATGTAGAGCACTCCAGAATCATTTAAAACGGTCTTTTTTAACTTTTTTTAACTGAAAATCGTGGTAACTTTTCTCTATAGCCTTGTACGTCTCTACGTAAGAGGCCATCATCTGCATTACATTCATATAAACGAAAAGAAGAATTTGTGAGGTTAAGTGCGTTTGTTTACGTTTATTCAAAATTTAGACGACTAATTAAACCAAAACATGCAACTTATTAACATCATAGTAGCAAGTATACGCGTAACAAATTTGCAAATTCCAAAATAAGATAAATACTGGGATTTCAGGGAGAAATTGAAAATTGAAAATCATCCAAAACGGATTCTCCAAACAATTCATCAAGTATGTCGTGCATTCGAAGCGTTATAATCAAGAAAGAACCCCCCGAAGAGAGTAATAAACCATTTTTTAATCAAGTTTACATCAAAAACGAGGCTCAGAGTGATAGCGAAGAGATGGAAAAAACGACTTATCAAAAGAATTTGATCAATTATCGTCTAATTGTTAACAGTGATTGGAATTTTTGAAATTTGAATTGTTATGTGACGTTGTTGACAGGTGACAGATGTGGGGAAGAGTGGTTTATGTGTGAATTAGAAGTGGATTGGATAGCAAAAACTGTTCGAATTTTCGTATTATTATTTATTGTAATAAATGTAAGTATATTTAAATTTTGCATTAAAAATACTGAACGAAAATTCAACAAAAAACATCAATCTCCCTCATGTCACTTATCGATTCTTCTTCTTTTTTTTTCTGAAACAAACTTTTATCAATCTCTTAAAATTTAAACAGTTTTCCTACTATTATTTACATAATACTACCACATAGATAAGTAAAAAACCTAAAAATTTCTGTTTACAATCAAAAATACGTTAATTTTTTCGATCGATCTCGAATCGATTTACCTGTCATCTGTCAAATATCGAATCGATTACTCGACGCCCGATCGGAAATCCCTGGCGTTTTCTGATTTCGTGATGGTTTGAAATTGCAAGTCAAGTGTAGTTCCAGTTTTCCGTGTAATATCGAAAATTCGCTCCCGAAAAGAATCGAAAACCGATCTCGAGTGTGTTAAATACAAAAACATGTAGGTATCCCCCAAATAAATCCACTGATAAAACGATCCCAACAAATTTCAACCGCCATTTTGTCAAAAATTATTCACTAACATCATCACCAACGTTTCACCCGGCACAAAATGGACAATTTTTTCGAAGACTGTTCGTAAGTATCACCCATTCGCTTTATCACCCGCAAATTTATATACGAGGGTAAGGTGAAAAGTTCTCTCTTGGTTCGTAAATAAAAAACCGCAATTTTCAGTTGAAAAAATTACATTAAGTCGAAAATCTTTAGTTCGAGAGAGTTCTAATTGATTCAGGAGCGTTCTAGGTTGTTATAGATAACTCTGTAAATAGTTCTGGAGCTTTCTAAATGGTTCTAGACAGTTCTAATTGATTCTGGAATGTTCTAAACGGTACTGATGGACCTAAAAGATTCTGGAGCGTTCTAGACAGTTCTAATTGATTCTAGAACGTTCTAAAAGATTTTGAAGCGTTCTAAAGGGTTTTATACAATTCCAAGTAAATCTGGAGCATTCTAAAAGCGGTCTATAGACAGTTCTAAATGACTATGGAGCATTTTTAATGATTTTTAGACAGTTTTAAATGTTTATAGGGCGTTCTACATGGTTCTAGGCAGTTCTAATTGATTCTGGAATGTTTTAAACGGTTCTAGGCAGTTCTAATTGATTGTAAAACATTCTATAAAGTTTTACTTGATTCTAGAACTTCTAAATAATTTTGAAACGTTCTAAAGGGTTTTATAAAATTCCAAATGAATCTGGAGCTTTCTAAAAGCGTTCTATAGACAATTCTAAACGATTCTGGAGCTTTATAAATGACTATAGAGCATTCTAAATGATTTGTAGACAGTTTTAAATGTTTATGCGGCGTTCTACATGGTTCTAGACAGTTCTAAAAGATTCTGGAACGTTCTAAATGATTCTGAAGCGTTGTAAATGGTTTTAGACAGCTCTAAATGATTTTAAAATGTTCTAAATGATTTTGAAACGTTCTAAAAGACAATGGAACGTTATAGCGTGTTCTGAAGCGTTCTAAATGGTTTTAGACAAATCTAAATGATTCTGGAGCGTTATAAATAGTTCTAGGCATTTCTATAAGAATATTCTGGAGCGTTCTAGACAGTTCTAATTGATCATAGAACGTTCTAAATGAATCTGAAACGTTCTAAAAGACAATGGAACATTATAAACTGTTTTGAACCGTTCTATATGGTTTTAGACAGTTTTAAAATATTCTGGAATGTTCTAAACGGTTCCTGACATTTCTAATTGATTCTAGAACGTTTTAAACCTTTCTAGGCAATTCTAATTGATTCTAGAACGTTCTAAATGGTTTTAGACAGTTCTAAACGTATCCGGAGCTTTCTAGATTGTTCTGGGCCATTCTAAATGGTTCTGAAGCGTTTTAAATGGTTTTAGACAGTTCTAATTGATTCTGGAGCATTCTAAACCGTTCTGGACGATCCTAAACGATTGCAGCGTCGAGAACTGTTCACCCTACCAGCGTAAAACTCCTTTCCAAAATCCCACCAACGTTAATCCCTATTTACCTACGAGTAAATATATTGCTCCCCAACAGTTAAGGAAATTTACAAATATAGCGATTATTTTAAAAATTACAAACTTTTTGATCACCGAATTTTCAAATATGCGAAATTAAAATGTTTTCTCCCATATCTGAGTGGATTTTTTGCCCCTACCTTTACAATTCATACTAAATTTGGTGATCAAAAAACCTGCAACTTTTAAATTAATCCCAATATTTGTGAACTTCCTTAACTTTTGTGGAGCAGTATAGTTTAAACACCCGTAAGGTTCACACAACAAAACACAAGGAATAATGCTTTTTAATGCTCTCTACCACACTCTGTACCGCTTACAGTGACTGATGTCTAGCCTGTAAATATTTACGAATCTGTAAGCGAATCTGTAAGCGAATCTGTAAGTAACAGATGAGGATAGAATTGCATTTCCTGTAACTCTTACAGATTTTGGCTTATAGGTCTTACAGATGTTCTCAGAATCGACCCATAATTAAAAAGTTGCAGGTTTTTTGATCGCTAAATTTAGAAAAACGTTTAATTTCGCAACATAATCGCAAAATAATCGCAACATTTGCGAACCTCCTTAACTGTTGCGAACCAGCTAATTTACCCACGTTCAGTACCCCGTCCAATTCATCCACCAGGGACTCCAAGACCAACCAAGTGCAAACCACCTCCAAGGTCTACTCGGACGTGCTCTCCGCCAAACCCAAGACCTACTACGAATACGACAACTACACGCCCGACTACGAGGACGTCGACAACTACAGCCTGATCAAGAAACTCGGCCACGGCAAGTACAGCGTCGTCTTCGAAGGGCTGCACGAGAAGCGCAACGAGACGGTCGTCGTCAAGATGCTCAAGCCGGTGCGCAAGCGCAAGATCAAACGGGAGATCAAAATCCTCGATTGTCTCAAGGGCGGCACGAACATCGTCAAATTGCTGTCGGTGGTGAACGTGCCCCACACGGACGTCACCGCTTTGGTGTTCGAACGGTTGGCCCACAACGAGGACTTCAAGAACATCTATTTGAAATTGAGCGAGGCCGATACGCGCTACTATTTGTACGAGATCCTGAAGGCGTTGGATTATTGCCATAGCAGAGGGATCATGCACAGGTGAGGCGTACGCGCGGCGGTCGCGCGAGGCGTTTTTGAACGGTTGCGGGGGCGGTTTTGAATGGTTGTGGCGCGTTTTGAATGGTTGTGGGGCGTTTTGAGTGGTTGTGAGGCGGTTTGAATGGTTGTGGGGCGTTTTGAATGGTTGTGGGGCGTTTTGAGTGGTTGTGTGGGGCGTTTTGAGAGGTTGTGGGGCGTTTTGAATGGTTGTGGGACGTTGTAAATGGTTGTGGGGCGTTTTGAATGGTTGTGGCGTATTTTGAATGGTTGTGTGGGGCGTTTTGAATGCTTGTATGGGGCGTTTTGAGAGATTGTGAGGCGTTTTGAGTGACAGTATGGGTCGTTTTGAGTAGTTATGTGGGTCGTTTTGATTGGTTGTGGAGCGTTGTAATTGGTTTTGGAGCGTTTTGAATGGTTCTAGAGCGTGCTAAATGGTTGTGGAGCGTTGTAATTGGTTTTGGAGCGTTTTGAATGGTTCTAGAGCGTGCCAAATGGTTGTGGAGCGTTCTAAAATGGTTGTAGAGCTTTGTTAATGAATGATTGTGGATCGTTCTAAGTGGTTCTGGAGCATTATAAACGATTCTAAATGGTTGTGGAGCCTTCTAAATGGTTGTGGAGGGTTCTATGTAGTTCTGGAGAGCGTTCTAAGTGATTCGAGATACTTGTAAATGTAATCTGGAGCGTTCTAAATGGTTCTGAAGCGTTCTGAGTGGTTATGGAACGTTCTAAGTAGTTCTGGAGCGTTCTAAATGGTTCTGGAGTGTTCTAAATGATTATAATTGATTCTGGAGCATTCTAAATGATTCTGTAGCTTTCTAAATGGTTGTAATTGACTCTGGAGCGTTCTAAAGTGTTCTAGATAGTTCTAAATGATTATGGAGCTTTCTAAAGTTTTAATTGATTCTGGAATTTAATCTTTAATCTAATTTAACTTTAATCCAAGCAGGTATATACCCCGACTGCCTGGCTAGCGATTTGCAATCGGAATTAAACTTTCCACGTATTGAAAATATTAAATAAGTACTTTTTTGTCTAATGTAATTGAAATGTAATTGTAACATGTAATTGCAATTGTAACGAACGGAGTAATTGAATTACAAATGAATTACAATTGAGGAGCTCGTAATTAATTACCGCCTCAATTACACTAAAAGTAATTCAATTACTTTTCAATTACTTGTAATTAATTACTTAACAACTTACATTAGACAAAAAAGTACTTATTTAATATTTTCAATAGGTGGAAAGTTTAATTCCGATTGCAAATCCCTAGCCAGGCAGTCGGGGTATATACAGTTAAATTCAGCTTAGTTGAATACACCACGTGTTTTTTCGCGCACAACATCATAAAAGAGGCTGGGCTCAGCCGATGTTTTCGATGCAAATAACAAATAATGAATTACAAATAAACCCCGACTCGACCTTCGCTGTTATCGGGTATACTGTGGATGGTTCGCCGGTCATACTTTTGGGGTAAAACCACGCCTATCTCTTTAGTTTCGTCTGTGCGCATTTTTACAGCTGTATTCAACTGAGCTGAATTTGAGTTTACCTGCTTGGATTAAAGTTTAAAGCATATTCTATAAGAATTATATATTCTATTAATATCTTGTTTCCATGAAAAGGTTAATGAGGTTTTTAGGAATATGTACCTAATTATTTAAAATGACACCAAAGCAAAGTCATTGTGATTGTAATTGTAATTGTAATTGTTGTTACAACACTGCTTAACATCCCAGTTTATACGCTCTCCGCGCAGGGACGTGAAACCGCACAACATCGTCGTCGATCAGAACACCTGCAAGATCCGCCTGATCGATTGGGGCCTGGCCGAATTCTATCATCCTCGACAAGAGTACAACGTGCGCGTCGCCTCGCGCTACTTCAAAGGTCCCGAATTGCTCGTCGACTACGGCTACTACGATTACTCGTTGGACATGTGGTCGCTCGGCTGCATGTTCGCTTCGATGTTGTTCCGCAAGGAGCCCTTCTTCCACGGCATCGACAACTACGATCAGCTGGTGCGGATCGTCAAAGTATTGGGTACGGATGTGCTAAGTATTATACTATATACCTAATTCCAAAATAGTAGGCATTCCACACTACAACCACACTCCAAAAAACACTACTTTAATCCTCTCGAAATCCTTTAAAAAAAAAACACACACACGAACATTCTAAATAGTTTTAGACAGTTCTATATGAATCTGGAGCGTTCTAAATGAATCTGGAGCGTTCTAAATGATTCTGAATAGTTTTAGACAGTTTAAAATGAGTTTGGACCGTTTCTAAATGGTTCTGGAATGTTCTAGACTGTTCTGAATGATTCTGGAACGCTCTAAATGATTCCGCAAGGAGCCCTTTTTCCACGGCATCGACAACTACGATCAGCTGGTGCGGATCGTCAAAGTGTTGGGTACGGATGTGCTAAATATTATACTATAGACCTAATTCCAAAATAGTAGGCGTTTCACACTACAATCACACTCCAAACAGCGCTTCTTTGATCCTCTCGAAATCCTCGAGCGTTCTAAATGATTCTGAATAGTTTTAGACAGTTTAAAATGAGTTTGGAGCGTTCTAAATGATTCTGTAGCATTCTTAATGACTATAGAGCGTTTCTAAATGGTTCTGGAATGTTCTAGACAGTTCTAAATGATTGTGGAGCGTTTTATATGATTCTGAGTAGTTTTAGACAGTTTAAAATGAGTTTGGAGCGTTCTAAATGATTCTGTAGCATTCTTAATGACTATAGAGCATTCTAAATGGTTCTGGAATGTTCTAGACTGTTCTGAATGATTCTGGAACGTTCTAAATGATTCCGCAAGGAGCCCTTTTTCCACGGCATCGACAACTACGATCAGCTGGTGCGGATCGTCAAAGTATTGGGTACGAATGTGCTAAATATTATACTGTACACTAATTCCAAAATAGTAGGCGTTTCACACTACAATCACACTACAATCACACTCCAAACAGCGCTACTTTGATCCTCTCGAAATCCTTTAAAAAAAAAAGCACACAAGAGCATTCTAAATGGTTTTAGACTAAATGACTCTGAATAGTTTTATTCTATACATTCTAAATAGTTTCATTCTAAATAGACAGTTCTAAATGACTATAGAGCGTTTCTAAATGATTTTGAATAGTTTTAGACAGTTTAAAATGAGTTTGGACCGTTCTAAATGATTCTGTAGCGTTTTTAATGACTATAGAGCATTCTAAATAGTTTCATTCTAAATATACAGTTCTAAATGACTATAAAGCGTTTCTAAATGGTTTAGAAATATTCTAGACAGTTCTAAATGATTGTGGAGCGTTCTATATGATTCTGAGTAGTTTTAGACAGTTTAAAATGAGTTTGGAGCGTTCTAAATGATTCTGTAGCATTCTTAATGACTATAGAGCATTCTAAATATACAGTTCTAAATGACTATAGAGCGTTTCTAAATGGTTTAGAAATGTTCTAGTCAGTTCTAAATGATTCTGGAGCATTCTAAATGATTCTGAATAGTTTTAGACAGTTTAAAATGAGTTTGGAGCGTTCTAAATGATTCTGTAGCGTTCTTAACGACTATAGAGCATTCTAAATAGACAGTTTTAAATGACTATAAAGCGTTTCTAAATGGTTTAGAAATGTTCTAGACAGTTCTAAATGATTCTGGAGCATTCTAAATGATTCTGGAGCATTCTAAATGATTCTGAATAGTTTTAGACAGTTTAAAATGAGTTTGGACCGTTCTAAATGATTCTGTAGCTTTCTTAATGACATTAGCGCATTCTAAGTAGTTTCATTCTAAATAGACAGTTTTAAATGACTATAGAGCGTTTCTAAATGGTTCTGAAATGTTCTAGACAGTTCTTAATAATTCTGGAGCATTCTAAATGATTCTAAATAGTTTAAGACAGTTTAAAATGATTTTGAAGCGTTCTAAATGATTCTGTAGCATTCTTAATGACTATAGAGCATTCTAAATAGACAGTTCTAAATGACTATAAAGCGTTTCTAAATGGTTCTGAAATGTTCTAGACAGTTCTAAATGATTGTGGAGCGTTCTATATGATTCTGAATAGTTTTAGAAAGTTTTTTAGACATCGTTTCTCCTTACCCTATCTACAAAACTGTTTAAAAATGAGTTTGGAGCGTTCTAAATGATTCTGTAGCTTTCTTTAATGACTATAGAGCATTCTAAATATTTTCATTCTAAGTAGACAGTTCTAAATGACTATAAAGCGTTTCTAAATGGTTTAGAAATGTTCTAGACAGTTCTGAATGATTCTGGAACGTTCTAAATGATTCTGTAGCGTTCTTAATGACTATAGAGCATTCTAAATAGTTTCATTCTAAATAGACAGTTCTAAATGACTATAGAGCGTTTCTAAATGGTTCTGGAATGTTCTAGACTGTTCTGAATGATTCTGGAGCGTTCTAAATGATTCTAAATAGTTTTAGACAGTTCTGAATGATTCTGGAACGTTCTAAACGATTCTGAAACGTTCTAAACGATTCTGGAACGTTCTAAATGATCTTGAATATTTTTATACAATTTTTAACGATTTTGGAGTGTTCCACCACACTCCAAGCACACTCCTTTAACCCTCCCGAAATCCTTTCACAAAAAAAAAACCAACAACCTCCCCACTGCAGGTACGAACGAACTGAACGCCTACCTGACCAAATACAACATCGCCATCGACAAGAAGCTGCAGGGCTCGTTGGGTTCGCACACGCGCAAATCCTGGCAGCGCTTCGTCCACACCGAGCACGAGTACCTCATCAACGATCACTCGCTGCACCTGCTCGAGAACCTTCTGCGCATCGATCACGCCGAGCGCATCTCGGCCCGCGACGCCTTGAATCACAAGTACTTCGCGCCGGTGAGAAGGAAGGTGCAGGCGAAGCCGTCGCCGATCGCCCAAAGTCGGGCGGTGCTCGAAGAGGCTCAATAGAGAATCTTGGTGTTTTTTTTTTACTCTCTCTCCCCCTTTCCGTTTTTTTTTTCTATACTTCATCATCCATCGAAGCAATGGAGTAACTAAAGCAAGTTTAGACGCTGGATCAGCGCGTGATGCGAATGCGCTTGATGGTCGCGCGTCTAAACTTGTTTTGGTTACTCCGTTGGTTCGATGGATGAAGTATTATAGACCGTTGGAAATTTATTCGCGCATAATAGGGACATCAATGTTAAATTCTTAGCCGGCTGAAATACAGTGTACCAGTGTACGTTTCAATAGAACGTGTCGCGATCAATTCTAATTAATTTGATTGTTCTACTGGACTTTCTGAATGATTCTGGAACGTTCTAAATGATTCTGTAGCGTTCTTAATGACTATAGAGCATTCTAAATAGACAGTTCTAAATGATTATAAAGCGTTTCTAAATGGTTTAGAAATGTTCTAAACAGTTCTGAATGATTCTGTAGCTTTCTTAATGACTATAGAGCATTCTAAATAGTTTCATTCTAAATAGACAGTTCTAAATGACTATAGAGCGTTTCTAAATGGTCCTGAAATGTTCTAGACAGTTCTAAATGATTCTGAACATTGTACATTCGGAGCATTGTAAATGACTCTGAATAGTTTAAGACAGTTTAAAATGATTTTGGAGCGTTCGAAATGATTCTGTAGCATTCTTAATGACTATAGAGCATTCTAAATAGTTTCATTCTAAATAGACAGTTCTAAATGACTATAGAGCGTTTCTAAATGGTTCTGAAATGTTCTAGACAGTTCTGAATGATTTTGGAGCGTTCTAAATGATTCTGAATAGTTTTAGACAGTTTAAAATGAGTTTGGAGCGTTCTAAATGATTCTGTAGCATTCTTAATGACTATAGAGCATTCTAAATAGACAGTTCTAAATGACTATAAAGCGTTTCTAAATGGTTCTGAAATGTTCTAGACAGTTCTAAATAATTGTTTAGCGTTCTATATAATTCTGAGTAGTTTTAGACAGTTTAAAATGAGTTTGGAGCGTTCTAAATGATTCTGTAGCATTCTTAATGACTATAGAGCATTCTAAATAGTTTCATTCTATATATACAGTTTTAAATGACTATAAACCGTTTCTAAATGGCTCTGAAATGTTCTAGACAGTTCTGAATGAGACAGTTCTGGACAGACAGTTCTGGACTTCACACCGCGATTTGGTTCGGTTAGATTAAATAAAATTAATAAAATTAATAAGATTAATAAAATAATTTCGACGGTTTCGAATCATTTAGAACTTCGACAGTATCAAAACGGGTTCGGATGTGTGAACGTCGAGTCGAATAAAAAGAAATGAGAATTTTTAAACGATTTTTTATTGAATAAATATCACTAATATTAAAATAGAATTATGTAGATATGTCTTTTTGCCACAATGGCTTGAAAAAGAAAGTAAATTCTAAGAAAATTATAAAAAATGAAACTCCAAATATAAACTTAAGGATTATTTTAAAACAGAAAATAAAAGAACTCTAAAAAATAGTCCACCGCTTTCTGCTAAACTTTAGCCAAACCTGTCATACAGATGTCATCTCATATTACTGAGCTGAGGTGTAATTCTAGCAGAAAATTGAATTATTTTTTCCCTTATTTCATCAAAATTTGTTGCTCTTTCAAAACTGTACCTATCGATACACTTATTTTTTGAAATATCCCAAAAAAAATTAGTTTCTAAATAATTTTGTACCTCATACTTAACGCAAATAACTTTGTACCTCTACAAATCACGGAGTGAAGTCCAATAGAACAATTAAATTTATTTGAATTGATCGCGACACGTTCTATTGAAATGATCACTGGTAGACTGGATTTCAGCCGGTTAAGAATTTAACATTAATTTCCCTATTATGCGAAATTAAATTTCCAACGGTGTATAACCCGTCGAACGTTAATTTTTAGCCATTCCGGACCGATAAGCGGAGCTAGTTAAATCGCGAGTTTACTACGAGTTATCTCGTAGGCGGCAGGTTAATTCCGTTAATGTCCGCGAAGCCAAGGTGGCTTGATTATAACGCATTACTACGAGATAACTCGTAGCGTGGCGTCCCGGAAACCGGAACACGAGTTGACTACGAGATAACTCGACGGGTTAATCGATCGTTCGATGTAAAAATGCGTTTCGTGTTGTAGTTGTTGTGATAAAGAAAACGATTATAAATAAATAGTTTGTTTGAATTAAAAAAAAAAACAAAAAACTTAAAGATTAATAAATTATTGTTTGTATTTTAGGGCTCCGGCTTTGGCCAGTTTGTCGGCTTCTTCGTTTCCTTCGATGCCTCGATGTCCCGCCACGTGGGTCTGTTGAAATAAAAAAAAATACAATAAAAAAATGGATAAAGTACCGCCGGTACTTACGATGAGGACGAGGTGAAAACAGTTCTCGGCCTGACGATGAAAGACCGGCGATTTTTTAGATGAAAAATTACTTTATTCTTCTTGTTAAGCCGAAGATCTTTGGTTCAGGACGGTTCTAAACCATTCTGAAGGGTTGTAAATAGTTTTAGACGGTTCTAAATAATTCTTAAGCATGCTAAATGATTTTAGACAGTTCTAGATGAAACTGGAGCGTTCAAAATGGTTCTAGGTAGTCTCAAATGATTCTGGAGCGTACTAAATAACTACAAAATCATTTTAAAATGGTTCTGGAACTTTCTTAATGATTCTGAATCTTTCTAAATAGTTCCGGAGTGTTCTAAATGATTTTAGACAGTTTTAGATGAATCTGAAGCGTTCTAAATGGTTCTAGATAGTTCCAAATGATCCTGGAGGTTACTAAATGACTACAGAATCATTCTAAAATGGTTCTGGAACGTTTTTAATGCCTCTGAATCTTTCTAAATGGTTCTGGAGCGTTCTAAATGACGACAGGAGCTTTATAAAATGGTTCTGGAGCATTCTAAATGATTCTAGAGCAATTTAAATAGTTTAAGATCCGTTCTAAATTATTCTGGAGCGTTCTAAATGGTTCTTAAGCATGCTAAATGTTTTTAGACAGTTCTAAATGATTCTGAAAGGTTCTAAATGGCTTTAGACGATTTTAAATGATTCTAGTTCGTTTTAAATGATTTTGGAGCATTCTAAATGATTCTGGAGCAATTTAAATGGTTTTAGACCAGTTCTTAATTATTCTGGAGCGTTCTAAATGGTTCTTAAACATGCTAAATGATTTTAGACAGTTCTAGATTCATCTGGAGCGTTCTAAATGTTTTTAGACAGTCCTAAATGATTCTGAAGGATTCTAAATGGTTTTAGACGATTCTAAATGATTCTGGTTCGTTTTAAATGATTTTGGAGCATTCTAAATGATTCTGGAGCGATTTAAATAGTTTTAGACCCGTTCTAAATTATTCTGGAGCGTTCTAAATGGTTCTTAAGCATGCTGAAATGATTTTAGGCAGTTCTAGATGAGTACGGAGCGTTATAAATGTTTTTAGACAGTTCTAAATGATTCTGAACGGTTCTAAATGGTTTTAGATGGTTCTAAATTATTCTGGGGCGTTTTACATGATTCTGGAGCATTCTAAATGATTCTGGAGCGATTTAAATAGTTTTAGACCCGTTCTAAATTATTCTGGAGCGTTGTAAATGGTTCTTAAGCAAGCTAAATGTTTTTAGACAGTTCTAAATGTTTTTGGAGAGTCCTAAAAGATTCTGAACAATTCTACGCGATTCAGGAGCGTTCGAAAACGGTTCTAGACAGCTCCAAACGATTCTGGATCGTTCCATAAATGATTCTAATCACTTCTAAACGATTCAGGCCGAGAACTTTTCACCCTACCCCCGTATTTCTACTCTGTCACCTACCCATATTACTTCCGTCATCATTTCGATTTCCTTGTCTAATTTCTGCAGTTCTTCCTTGTTCTTTACATCGCTACCGTTGGCCGTTTTCCAATTATTCGTTTTCCATCGTTTAATCCAATTCGTCATGCAGCTAATCGTGAATTGCGAGTCCGTGTAGATGTTCACTTTACGAATACCTGCAATTTACCCTCTAATTAAATCGACTGGACGTTAATAAGCTCGATTAAATGCAATTTACGACTGATTAAATACAGGACTTTTCACGGTAACCGTCCATTAGAAGTATCTCAATAATGAAAAGAATTAAAAATCTGAAATTTTGGTTATAGTATTTTTTGGGTAATATGAATTGATCTAAAATTTAAGGTCGTCAAATGGCCAACTAGATAACTCAAAAAAAAAGAAAATTCATACCTTATTTAATAAGACTTCGATTATTTCAAAAACTACTGGATTTGGGTATAGGGAATACCCATATGGATCGAAAGAGCTTAAAAAACTGCATTGGTCACTGTTAAAAAATACAGGGTGATCCATTTGAAATAACAAAGTTATGACCACTTTAATTTGGCCAAGTTTGTCAGACAATTTTAAACGCCCTGTACATGGATTCTGAAAATACAGTTTAGTTTCATTTAGTAGTATGTCTGGACATCATCGATACTCAATTTCAAGCTTCTAGCTGCGTTATTAATAGAGATATCACAGAAAATACATTCGACTGTTTTTCCAAAAAATATTGAAAAAATTGTAATATCTTAAAAATAGTGCATTTTTGGCATATGGTGTTATTATCAAAGTCTAGTTAAAAAAGGCCATAGAATTCAAAAATGAAGTTAAAAATGGCACCTTCCATATAAAATAACTAAGTTGGTGTCAACTTCCGGTATAACCGAAAGTGTAATCAAAATGAAAATATTTTAGATCAATTCATATTATCCAAAAAATACTATAAACAAAATTTCAGATTTTTAAGTCTTTTCATCATTGAGATACTTCTAATGGACGGTTACTGTGAAAAGCCCTGTATATACCGGGGCTTAATTTTCGATATTTATTCGATATTTATTTATATTCTTATTTATAAAAACGAAGCATTTACTTTGAGGTAAAAGGTAGAAGCAAAAAGTAAGAGAAAAAGGTTTTAAAACCTTGCTTTAAAGTGAAATGCTGCATCAAATCTTCTTCGAGAACTTGAAGGCCTCTTTGAGCCACTATTAATAATCGTTTTTGAGCTTCATATAGCTACAGATATTAACAGAATAAAGGTACTATAGTATAGTAATCTTACAGTAACAACACATGAAGATGAAACAAAATTAAAGTCAGGAATGTCAACATAACAAATCTAAAATGGTGAAATGTGATTGGCTAAATATTTAGTTAATATTAGACTGTTTCCATGTGAAAATATATTCCACTATAACCAAGAATACTGTGTCAGACAAGCACTTGAATAAATGTATTTACAGTGGAACTATTTCACGTGAAGTCGAGAATTGAGCCCCAGAGGTTAAAGACAGATTGATCAAAGCACCTTCGGAATAGAGCAGTCTCAAAGCCTCAGAACAAGCCTGTATCTCAGCGGTGTTGTTGGTGGCTTTACCGCACACGGGTCGAGACAAGTTTCTGCAAAATTTTCACGTGCAATTACTAATTAAATGGTGATTTTTGAGGGTAATTACAGCGGGTGATTGTGGCCGAACCAAACGCCTATTCCCGCTTTCGCGTTGAGTTTCCCGTTGTTTTCGCAGGCTCCGTCCGTGTAAACCACAACGAAGCCGTTCTCTTCGTTAAACGATGATTCTGAGCCGGTTTTCAGTCTTTTGGTTTGAGCCGGGACGGGGCCGTCGGTCAGGCATCTAGAAATAGTCGTGTAGAAAGTGTTATGCCCAAAAAATACTGTTTTTTTGACGTATAAATGACAGTTGAAACTTTCAAAATGACAGTTAGGCGCCATTTTGAATCTTTTTTTCTTATGGGAAGGGGGGTCAAGTGATACCTCGTTTTAAAGGTAATTTCATTCTTAAGTTAACCCCCAAATTTGAAAACATTTTAATAACGCGTATTCACGTGAAGACCAATTTAGTTTTAACCCCCGGGCATATTGATACATTTAAAAATTCATTCTGAACGTACTATAAAATGTGTCAATGAATTGTTGCTATGGTTTCTTTGCTCTGATAGCAACAATTCATTGACACATTTTAAAAACTAAATTGGGGCTTTTAATTTAACTGTCCCTGAAATTCCAAAATTTTTGAGGTTAACAAGAAAGAGAATTTTAGTTCATGCAACAGTATAAAACTGATTTTAGACTTAAGTCTGACTTAGGATAGGAATTTATCCTAGGATGCTTTGGTGCAACTGGGCATTAGTGATTCTAACTCTAACCTCTTCGTACTATCCGATATATCGCCTAATGGTAGGAGTTTCCTCGTGGATTTGATCTCTTCGATGATCAATTTCACTTCGTTGTTTAGGATTTTTGCGCGTTCTTCTGCGTCGTCTAGCCTCCTGTATAACGCCTTTAATTCGTCGGTCCTGTAGAAGAGAAATGTAAATGCATAGAGTAGAAAAATGGAAAGTAATCGTATAACTTACATGATTTTTATAAGCGGTAAATGTATCCTTAAACTAAATACGTTAGGTTTAAAAATGTTGCTTATGGTTTTAAAACTGGTTAATATCATTTATGTATTCGTTTGAATTGTTCACATTGTAATCAAAAATCAAATCAAACGAAAATTTTCAACAGCTGTGACAGAACTGTCAAATATTCTTCTTCTCTTCGTTTAAGTGGCCTGATTTGATTAGGTTATTCAGCCTACTGTCAATTATTGTGCGATCGTGGTGAAATAGGTTTGAAAATGTTGCTTATACTTTTAAAACGGTTTAATATAATTTATGTAATTAAATTATTTACATTGTATTGAAAAATCAAATCAATCGAAAAATTTGAACAGCTGTGACAGAACTGTCAATGTCAATTATTCTTGGTGAAAATCGGAATCCTCGTAGCAGGTATTTCTTTGGTTTTCCTTATTTTAACGTGACAATTCTGGATAATTATTTGTTTAGATAGTACCTTCCACATTCTCTACTAACCTTAAGGCTCAATATTGAGCCAATTGACTCACACAGTCAAAACACAACGCAGAATACTAAGTGAAGAAACACGGAACTTAAAAGTGCATACTCTGCATAAACAAATTCCTAACCGAATACCCGCGTAGATCGAGACCACCTGTCAAACATCGGTCAGAAGCAGAACTCAATAATGACAGTTTGAATTGTTTTGGCGATATCAAAACACGAATAAACAAATTGATAAGCCAACGCGAAACCAACAAACCGATACGTGTCAATGAAAAGGCGCGAAAGATAATCCTCTTCAACTCCACCGCATTCCGAAACGATGTTAAAAGCCGTCATTCTAATAGGGGGCCCTCAAAAAGGTAAATACGCCCAAAAAAATCACCGCAAAACTCAACACAATCTCGCCGCAGGTACGAGATTCAGGCCGCTGTCCCTCGACATCCCGAAACCCCTCTTTCCCATAGCCGGTCTACCGTTGGTACAGCACCTGATCGAAGCATGCGTGGCCAACGAAGGACTCTCCGAAATCCTTCTGATAGGATTCTACCCTTCGGCGCAAATCCAACCATTCGCCAACGAGATGCAGCAAATCTACAACGTCACCATCAAGTAAGCTACGATCGGCCGAATAGCCTCGTTCGTGGGGGAGCTTCGTTCCAAGTATTAACCCGTTCCAGGTACCTCCAGGAATTCACCGCATTGGGCACGGCCGGCGGGCTGTACCACTTTCGCGACCAAATCCGCTTCGGGAACCCCGAAGGGTTCTTCCTGATGAACGGCGACGTGTGCTCCGACTTCCCCCTGAAGGAGCTCTACGAGTTCCACAAACAGAAGAAAGCCCTGGTACGTTGCGTTTCATTTTCGACGGCCTCTTACTGTACGGGTTATTTTAATTAGGTCACGATCATGGGCACGGAGGCCACCAGACACCAATCGTTGAACTACGGTTGCATCGTAACTAACAGAGAGACCAACGAGATGACCCACTACGTGGAGAAACCCAGCTCGTACGTGTCCACGTTGATCAATTGCGGGGTGTACGTGTGCTCGCCGGACATATTCCATACCATCGGTGCGGTCAACAACGAGCTGCAAGAACGCTACAGGTGGGAGGCTGGCTTTTTCGATTTGCTACTTACTTATTCGAGAGTTTAGTACTGTCTGGAAGCGTTTAGAACGCTTCAGAACCATTTTAGAAGGCTCCTGTAGTCGTTTAGAACGCTTCAGATTCGTTTTAGGAAGCTTCAGAATAATTTAATAAGCTTCAGAACCATTTTAGAAGGCTCCTGTAGTCATTTAGAGCGCTCCAGAAACATTTAGAAAGCGACAGCACCATTTAGAACGCTCCAGAACCATTTTAAAACGCCCAGAACCATTTAGAGAACCGTTTAGAGAGCTTCAGAACCATATAGAACGCTTTAGACCAATTTAGAACATTCCAGAATCATTTTAGAATGCTCCTGCAGTCATTTAGAACTGTCCAGGACAATTTAGAAGTTTCATAACCATTTAGAACGCTATAGAACCATTTTAGAATGCTCCTGTTGTCATTTAGAACGCTCTAGAATCGTTTTAGAACTGTCTGGAACCATTTAGAACGCTGCTGAATCATTTAAAACCATTTTAGAACGACCCAGAACCACTTTAGAACGCCCCTCATCCATAAAATATTCACTCCCATCCTACACCAACAAATGAACAAACCGTATTTATTTTTTTCAATCGTAGAAACGGCTACATGAACGGCACGAGAGAAGCCGGTTATATCCAGAACCATTAGGAACGTTCCAGAACCATTTTAGCATGATTCTGTAGTCATTTAGTACGTTCCAGAATCATTTGGAACTACCTAAAATCATTTAGAACACCCCAGGTTCATTTAGAACGCTCCAGAACAATTTAGAACGCTCCTCATTCATCTAAAATTGTCTAAAACCATTTTAGAACGCTTTAGAACCATTTAGAATGTTCTAGAACCATTTTAGAAAGCTCCAAGAACCATTTTTGGAAACTTTAAAATCATTTAGAACGCTCCAGATTCATCTAGAACTGTCCTAAATCATTTAGAATGCTCCCGATCTATTTTAGAATGTTCCAGAACCATTTAGAAAGCGTCAGAACCATTTAGAACGCTCCAGAACCATTTTATAAAGCTCTTGTCGTCATTTAGAACGTCCAGAACCATTTTAGAACGCCCCACAATAATTTTAAAACGCCCCACAACCATTTTAGAACGCCCCACAACCATTCTAGAACGCCCCACAACCACTTTACAACCATAAAACCTCCACACCCATAAAATTTCGAATTTCACTCCATCCTACATCAACAAACGAACCAACCTTATACTTTTTTTAATCGCAGAAACGGCTACATGAACGGCACGAGAGAGGACCATTTTAGAACACCCCAGAACCATTTTAAAACGCTCCAGGAACCATTTTGGAAACTTTCTAGAACATCTAGAACCTATCTTAAATGATTTAGAATGCTCCCGATCCATTTTATAATGCTCCAGAACCATTTAGAACGCTTCAGACCCATTTTTGAATGCTCCTTTCGTCATTTAAAACGCCCCAGAATCATTTAGAACGCTTCAAAACCATTTTAGAACGCCCCAGAACCATTTTAGAACGCTCCACTCCCATCCTGCACCAACAAACGAACAAACCTTATACTTTTTTTCAATCGCAGAAACGGCTACATGAACGGCACGAGAGAGGCCGGTTACATCCAGCTGGAACAAGAGATCCTGGCGCCTCTGGCGGGTACCGGCCAAATCTTCGTACTGCCTGTCGTCAATTGGTGGTCGCAAATCAAGTCGGCCGGTTCGGCCATTTACGCCAACAGGCATTACTTGCAACTGTACAAAACGAAATTCCCCGAACGATTGGCCCGGTCGAAGGGACAAGGGGAGACTTGTACGATTTATCCGGACGTGCACGTCGATCCGACGGCTGTCATTCATCCGTCCGCTGTGGTACTGTATATATTTGCGCTGTATACTATACTAGTCAAAGGCCATGATACAAATCACATATAAAGGTTGCTCCATTTTCATAGACCTATTAACTATGGACGCGGTTTAGACAAAGAGGTAGTGTTGTCGATGAATGAGAGAGATGCAGCTAGTTTGGGCATGTGGCAATGAGAGATTGGACAATGCATTAGCCAATAGTATGCAAGGTAGCTGGGGTAGAGGAGGGTAGCTTATGGTAGAATAGGGTTGAGGATTTATTATTTTTTTACCGAGCAAAATGCATTTTTCAGCTGAGCCTAAATTCCCACAAATTTGCAAATACAGTTCTTATTTTGTATTGTTAATTGGAACCTCCTACCTATTAGCCAGTACAGATTTCGCAATTTAAGACCTAGCTGCTTTCTCTTGTAAAAAACATGTTTCTTCCAGGTCATTCTTCTGTCCAAGTGGATACCAAGATAAAAACAATATTTAAATATTAAGCGTATAAATATTTTAACAGATTAATAGCCTTTTTCCACGCACCCTGTATATATTTTATATATTTTTTGGTCCCGCCTACTTTTAGCCCAAACTAGCTCCATCTCTCACGGACCTCTCTCTCTCTCTATCATTGGGAACGCTGAATAACCTCAAAATAACGATTGTGCCGCGTCCATACTTAATAGGTCTATGAGTAACTCCCTTTAGCTACTTGATTTAGTAACTACCTTTAGCTTCTTTATTTAGTAACTACCCTACTTTGCCTACTTGATTTACTAACTCCCTTTAGCCACCTTCGATGCATCCCTTATTCCATACAAAAATCCCCGCTACTCCCATCGCCGATCCTCTCAAACCATCAAAACCGCCTAAAAACACCCCGATAATGGTCGATCAATTATTCCCAGTGATGTTAAAATTACTTTATAATATGTAATTAATTACAATTACAATTACTTTTGGCAAATTGTAATTAATTGCAATTACAATTACAAAATTTGCGAATGTAATTACAATTACAATTAAAGTTACAATTACAATCACAATTACTTTGCTTTGGTGTCAGTTTTAAATAATTATTTAGGGATTTGCAATCGAAATTAAACTTTCCACGTATTGAAAATATTAAATAAGTACTTTTGTGTCCAATGTAATTGAAATGTAATTGTAAAATGTAATCGTAATTGTAACGAAAGGAGTAATTGAATTACAAATGAATTACAATTGAGGCTCTTGTAATTAATTACCGCCTCAATTACAATAAAAGTAATTCAATTACTTTTTCAATTACTTGCAATTAATTACTTAACAACACTGATTATTCCACAGCTGGGGCCGAACGTGAGCGTCGGGCCGGGCGCGACGGTGGGCGCCGGGACGCGGCTCAAAGAGAGCATCGTCCTGCGCGACGCCTCCATCGACGATCGCAGTCTGGTGATGCACAGCATCATCGGCAGGGGATCGCACGTGGGACGATGGACGAGGGTGGAGGGCACCCCGTCGGATCCGGATCCGAATAAGCCCTTTACCAAGATGGAGAATCCGCCGTTGTTTAATAAGGATGGACGGTTGAATCCTTCGATTACTATCGTCGGTGAGTTAGGGGTGAGGAGGGGTGGGGTTTGGGGGTGGATTTGGAGTGGATTCGGAGTGGGTTTAGGGTAGATTTAGAGTTGATTCTGAGTGGATTTAGGGTGGTAGATTCGGGGGAGGTTTGGAGTAGATTCAGGAGTAGATTAAGAGGACATTCAGAGTATATTCTGGATCAGATTTTGAGTAGATTCAGAGAATATTATAAAGTAGATTAGAGTAGGTTAAAAGAAGATTATAGAGTAGATTTAGAGAAGATTCAGAGTTGTAGATTCAATGTAAAACAGAATAGGTTCAAGAGTAGATTAAGAGGACATTCAGAGTATATTGTGGAGTAGATTTTGAATAGATTAGAGTAGATTCAGGGTAAAATCGGAGTAGATTCAGGAGTAGATTCGGAGTATATTCTGGAGCAGATTTTGAGCAGATTAGAGTAGATTCAGAGAAGATTATAGAGTAGATTTAGAAAAGATTCAGAGTTGTAGATTCAGGAGTACATTCAATAGTAGATTAAAAGGACATTCAGAGTATATTCTGGAGCAGATTAGAGTAGATTCAGAGAAGATTATAAAGTAGATTAGAGTAGGTTAAAATAAGATTATAGAGTAGATTTAGAAAAGATTCAGAGTTGTAGATTCAGGAGTACATTCAATAGTTGATTTAGAGGACATTCAGAGTATATTCTGGAGCAGATTTGAGTAGATTCAGAGAAGATTATAGAGTATATTTAGAGAAGATTCAGAGTTGTAGATTCAGGGTAAAACAGAGCAGATTCAGGAGTACATTCAGAGTACATTCAAGAGTAGATTAAAAGGACATTCAGAGTATATTCTGGAGCAGATTAGAGTAGATTCAGAGAAGATTATAAAGTAGATTAGAGTAGGTTAAAAGAAGATTATAGAGTAGATTTAGAGAAGATTCAGAGTTGTAAATTCAGGGTAAAACAGAATAGGTTCAAGAGTAGATTAAGAGGACATTCAGAGTATATTGTGGAGTAGATTTTGAATAGATTAGAGTAGATTCAGGGTAAAATCGGAGTAGATTCAGGAGTAGATTCGGAGTATATTCTGGAGCAGATTTGAGCAGATTAGAGTAGATTCAGAGAAGATTATAGAGTAGATTTAGAGAAGATTCAGAGTTGTAGATTCAGGAGTAGATTCAGGAGTACATTCAATAGTAGATTAGAGGACATTCAGAGTATATTCTGGATCAGATTTTGAGTAGATTCAGAGAAGATTATAAAGTAGATTTAGAAAAGATTCAGAGTTGTAGATTCAGGAGTAGATTCAGGAGTACATTCAATAATAGATTAAGAGGACATTCAGAGTATATTCTGGATCAGATTTTGAGTAGATTCGAGTAGATTAGAGTAGGTTAAAAGAAGATTATAGAGTAGATTTAGAGAAGATTCAGAGTTGTAAATTCAGGGTAAAACAGAGTAGGTTCAGGAGTAGATTCGGAATACATTCAAGAGTAGATTAAGAGGACAATCAGAGTATGTTGTGGAGCAGATTTTGAATAGATTAGAGTAGATTCAGTGTAAAATCGGAGTAGATTCAGGAGTAGATTCGGAGTACATTCAAGAGTAGATTAAGAGGACATTCAGAGTATATTGTGGAGTAGATTTTGAATAGATTAGAGTAGATTCAGGGTAAAATCGGAGTAGATTCAGGAGTAGATTCGGAGTACATTCAAGAGTAGATTAAGAGGACATTCAGAGTATATTGTGGAGCAGATTTTGAATAGATTAGAGTAGATTCAGGGTAAAATCGGAGTAGATTCAGGAATAGATTCGAAGTATATTCTGGAGCAGATTTTGAGTAGATTTCGAGAAGATTCAGAGAAGATTCTGAGTTGAAGATTCGGGGGAGATTTACAGTTGATTCGGAGTAAATTAAAGAGTATATTCAGAATAGTTTAAAAGTAGGTTAAAGAGTTCATTTAGAGAAAATTCGGAGCAGATTAAAGAGTAGATTCAGTGTAAATTCAGAGTAGATTTAGTACCTAGAAGATTCAGAGTAAATTAAGGAGTGTATTCATAGAAAATTCGAAGTAAATTGAGCAGGAAGTTCAAAGTAGATTCAGAGTACGAGTAGATTAAAGAGTATATTCAGGAGCAGATTCTGAGTAGATTCAGAGTGGATTTAGGGTGGTAGATTCGGGGGAGGTTTAGAGTAGATTCAGGAGTAGAATAAGAGTACATTCAAGAGCAGATTCTGAGTAGATTAGAGTAAATTCAAAGTAGATTCAGTGTAGATTAAGTAGAAGATTCAGAGTAGATTCAAAGAAAATTCGGCAGTAGATTAAATAGTGCATTCGTGGACGAGGGTGGAGGGCACCCCGTCGGATCCGGATCCGAATAAGCCCTTTACCAAGATGGAGAATCCGCCGTTGTTTAATAAAGATGGACGGTTGAATCCTTCGATTACTATCGTCGGTGAGTTGGGGGTGAGGGGTGGGGTTTGGGGGGTGGATTCGGAGTGGGTTTAGGGTAGATTTGGAGTTGATTTTGAGTGGATTTAGGGTGGTAGATTCGGGGGAGGTTTGGAGTAGATTCGGGAGTACATTCAAGAGTAGATTAAGAGGACATTCGGAGTAGATTCTGGAGCAGATTTTGAGTAGATTAGAGTAGATTCAGAGGAGATTTAGAGTTGTAGATTCGGAGGTGATTTAGAGTAGATTCAGAGAAGATTCAGAGTTGTAGGTTCGGGGGAGATTCAGAGTAGATTCAGGAGTATATTCAGAGTACATTTAAGAGTAGATTAAGAGGACATTCGGAGTATATTCTGGAGCAGATTTTGAGGACATTCGGAGTATATTCTGGAGCAGATTTTGAGAAGATTCAGAGAAGATTCAGAGTTGTAGATTCGGGGGAGATTTAGAGTAGATTCAGGAGTAGAATAAGAGTACATTCAGGAGCAGATTCTGAGTAGATTAGAGTAGATTTAGAGTAGATTCAGAGTGGATTTAGGGTGGTAGATTCGGGGGAGGTTTGGAGTAGATTCGGGAGTACATTCAAGAGTAGATTAAGAGGACATTCAAGAGTAGATTAAGAAGACATTCAGAGTATATTCTGGAGTAGATTTTGAATAGATTAGAGTAGATTCAGAGAAGATTCAGAGTTGTAGATTCGGGGGAGATTCAGAGTAGATTCAGGAGTAGATTCGAGAGTACATTCAAGAGTACATTCAAGAGTAGATTAAGAGGAGTGTATTCTGGAGCAGATTTTGAGTAGATTAGAGTAGATTCAGAGAAGATTATAAAGTAGATTTAGAAAAGATTCAGAGTTGTAGATTCAGGAGTACATTCAATAGTAGATTAAGAGGACATTCAGAGTATATTCTGGAGCAGATTAGAGTAGATTCAGAGAAGATTATAAAGTAGATTAGAGTAGGTTAAAAGAATATTATAGAGTAGATTTAGAGAAGATTCAGAGTTGTAGATTCCGGGGAGATTTAAAGTAGATTCAGGGTAAAACAGAGTAGAGATTCAGGAGTAGATTCGGAGTAAGTTCAAGAGTAAATTAAGAGAACATTAAGAGTATATTCTGGAGCAGATTCTAAGTAGATTAGAGTAGATTCAGAGAAGATTTAGGGTAGTAGATTCGGGGGAGGTTTAGAGTAGATTCAGGAGTAGATTCAGAGTACATTCAAGAGTAGATTGAGAAGACATTCAGAGTATATTCTGGAGTAGATTTTGAATAAATTAGAGTAGATTCAGGAGTAGATTTGAGAGTACATTCAAGAGTACATTCAAGAGTAGATTAAGAGGAGTATATTCTGGAGCAGATTTTGAGCAGCTTAGAGTAGATTCAGAGAAGATTATAGAGTAGATTTAGAAAAGATTCAGAGTTGTAGATTCAGGAGTAGATTCAGGAGTACATTCAAGAGTAGATTAAGAGGACATTCTGAATATATTCTGGAGCAGATTTTGAGTAGATTCAGAGATGATTATAGAGTAGATTAGAGTAGGTTAAAAGAAGATTGTAGAGTAGATTAAGAGGACATTCGGAGTATATTCTGGAGCAGATTTTGAGTAGATTTCGAGAAGATTCAGAGAAGATTCTGAGTTGAAGATTCGGGGGAGATTTACAGTTGATTCGGAGTAAATTAAAGAGTATATTCAGAATAGTTTAAAAGTAGGTTAAAGAGTTCATTCAGAGAAAATTCGGAGCAGATTAAGGAGTAGATTCAGTGTAAATTCAGAGTAGATTTAGTACCTAGAAGATTCAGAGTAAATTAAGGAGTGTATTCATAGAAAATTCGAAGGAAATTGAGCAGGAAGTTCAAAGTAGATTCAGAGTACGAATAGATTAAAGAGTATATTCAGAGTAGATTCAGAGTAATTTAAACAGTATATTCAGATTAAATTTAGAGTACATTAAGTACCTAGAAAATTCAGAATAAACAAAGAGTATATTCAGAGTAAATTCAGAGTAATTTGAGCAGTCAATTCAGAGTAGATTCAATGTAGATTCAAGGTAGATTCGGAGTATATTAAGTACCTAGAAGATTCAGAATAAAAAAAGAGTAGATTCAGAGTAAATTGAGCAGTAAATTCAGATTAGTTCAGAGTAGATTAAAACAGCATTCAGTGAAAATTCAGAACAGATTAAGAAGTAGATTAAGAGTAAATTCTGAGTAGATTCGGAGTTAATTCGGTAGTAGATTCATTCAAAATTGGGCAGTAAATTCAGAGTAGATACAGAGTAGATTATCGAATAAATACAAAGTACATTCAGAGTGGAGCAGAGCAGATGATATTCATAATAAGGAAGATTCAGAATAGAGTGGAACAGAACATAGCAGAGTAGATTCAGAACAGTGTATAGATTCAAACCGGAGCAGTTTCAGAGTGAAGCGGAGCAGACTAGATTCAGAGTAAATTGGGCAATAAATTTAGAGTAGATTCAGAGTAAGTTTAGAGTAGATTTAGATTCAATTCGGGAGTAGATTCAGAGTGGAACAGAGCATTTTTGTAGCTGGAGTGGAGCAATTTTGACACAATGTGATCGATTTATCAAATTTAGAGATGAATTTGATGAATTAATTAAATTAATAAATGAATTTTTGTTCGCAGGTTGTTCCGTAAGCGTACCGTCCGAAACGATTCTGCTCAATTCCATTGTATTGCCAAATAAAGAACTGTCGAGGAGCATCAAAAACGAAATAATATTGTAAATAAATTAAATATGATGTTTTATTTATTTATGTATATGAAGCACAAAGTGACTGAAACGATATAAAATTTTATTTATAGATTAAAAATCTAGTTATCTGAGTTTTTATTAAAGGCCTTTGACTTCTCAGGAATTCGACTTAATGTAGGTAAAACTAAAACACCACGTTTAAGTGATTTAGGAAACACCCTGTATATTATGGTTTACGGGGTGTCCCTCAAAAGAACTGACACAGAGCTGAAGGGGAGCTTATTAGAAAGTTCTATTGCAGGTTCTTGTGTGGGACACCCTGTATATTTGCCAGTTCTTTATACAGAGTTGTGTCTAAATGACAACGAAATAATTTAAGGGGTGATTCTATTGTGAAAATTGAATAAATTTTTTTCGGAAAAAACAATTTTTTTGGTCAATAAAATGCTATTTAACGTGAGCTTGTAGTACATTTATTTTTTTCTCGAAAATGCTCGAGTTTTGGAAAAACTTGTGGAGACAAAAAAGTTGTAAAATGAATCGGGCTTTTCGGCCATATTTTTTTAAAAGAAAAATTTCCATCTGGAAAAAAGTTGTTAGGGAAAATGTCTTAGGGGTTGACTATTTTAACCCCTTCTAAGCCTATTTTAGGGTTGAAAAAATTTCAAAACGTGTAGTTTCATTGAAAAATAATATTTCCCGAGTTTCGCGTCTTTAGCTTAATATACAGGGAAAATAAAGAAGAAAAACCATTTTTTTTAGTTAATAAAATGCTATTTAACAAGAACTTACAGTGCATTTATTTTTTTTTCTCGAAAATGATTAAGTTTATGAAAAAACTTGTAGAGATAAAAAAGTTGTTAAATGAATCGGGCTTTTCGGCCATATTTTTTTAAAAGAAAAATTTCCATCCAAAAAAAAGTTGTAAGAAAAAATGTCTTAAGGGTTGAATGTTTCAACCTCTTCTAAGCACACTTCAAGGTTGAAAAAATTTCAAATCTTGTAGTTTCATTGATAAATAATATTCCCCAAGTTTCGCGTCTTTAGCTTAATATACAGGGAAAATAAAGAAGAAAAACCATTTTTTTAAGTTAATAAAATGCTATTTAACAAGAACTTACAGTGCATTTATTTTTTTTTTCTCGAAAATGATTAAGTTTTTGAAAAAACTTGTAGAGATAAAAAAGTTGTAAAATGAATCGGGCTTTTCGGCCATATTTTTTTAAAAGAAAAATTTCCATCCAAAAAAAAGTTGTAAGAAAAAATGTCTTCGGGGTTGATTATTTCAACCCCTTCTAAACATACTTGAGAGTTGAAAATATTTTGAAACGTGTAGTTTCATTAATAAATAATATTCCCCGAGTTTAGCGTCTTTAGCTTTACATACAGGGAAAATAAAAAAAACAATTTTTTTTCAATCTTTTGAGGGGTATAACTTTTCCGAAGAGGTTTTTTCAAAAAAAGTTTTACCAAGTATCACCCCTTTTTTTGTCACTTTTTTTCATATTTTTTCCTCTTTATTCCATGTTTTTTACCTTTTTTCATGCTTCTTAATTTTTTCCACATTCTTCAACTTTCTCCATGTATTTCAACTTTTTCCAGTTTCTTCCATTCTTTCCATATTTTCAAACAATTAAGTTTATATTCAAAAAAATACTATACCAATTATGTAACACACCTTAATTCTCATCACAAAATCCTCCGTTATTATTCTTCTGCACCATTTAGATACCCACCCTGTATACACAAAATCAAAATTCAAAACCCTGTATACATACAAAAACCTTCATAGTGTGCTGTGACTCGACTTAGTGTCGCTTTAAATAAAATTACAGTTCACCGATCGACGGACATTTATTATTATTTTTTTTTTACTAAAATACCGCCTTATCCTCATCATCATCGTATTATGATGAAAGGAAAATGTTGCGTACAAAAGAGCAACCGCTCTTATTATTATTTCGGGGAGGCTCCGAGACACCTCTAACAGTGGCGTATCACCCTGGAGATTTTATATTTTTTTTACAGGTAATTTCATTTTTGCCAATGTTGGTTCAATGTGGATTTAGAGCAAGTTTAGAGCAGATTCGGAGCTGATTCAGGGCGGAGTGGATTTAGAGTAGATTCAGAGCAGTGTCGATTTGGATCCTAGAGTAGGTTAGATTCAAAGCAGAGTAGATTCAGAGTGGATTCAGAGTAGAGGAAAGCTGATGAGAAAAATTAAGACGAGAATTTATGCAGAGCAGAGGAAATTCAAAATAGAGTGGATTCAGTGTAGATTTAGAGCAGTGTACGTTCAGAGCAGGAGGAAATCGGAGTAGATTTAGAGCAGTGTACGTTCAGAGCAGGAGGAAATCGGAGTAGATTTAGAGCAGAGTCTAGGTAGATTCAATGCAGTGTAGATTTGAAACAAAAGAGATTCAAATCAGGATAGATACAGTGTAGATTTAAGAGCAAGAGCAGTGTAGATTCAGAGCAGAAGAGATTTAAAACAGAGTAGATTCAGTGTGGGTTTAGATCAGTGTAGATTTGTAGCAGAGTAGATTCGGAGCAGATTCAGAGTAGAACAGAACTAAACAAATTCATGATCAGAGTTGATTCAGAGTAGAAGAGATTCAAAATAGAGCAGATTCAGTGTAGATTTAAGAGTAAGTGCAGTGTAGATTCAGAGCAGAAGAGATTTAAATCAGAGTAGATTCAGTGTAGATTTAAGAGCAAGAGCAGTGTAGATTCAGAGCAGAAGAGATTTAAATCAGAGTAGATTCAGTGTGGGTTTAGATCAGTGTAGATTTATAGCAGAGTAGATTCAGAGAAGATTCAGAGTAGAACAGAACTAAACAAATTCATGATCAGAGTTGATTCAGAGTAGAAGAGATTCAAAATAGAGCAGATTCAGTGTAGATTCAGTGTAGATTTAAGAGTAAGTGCAGTGTAGATTCAGAAGAGAGTTAAATCAGAGTAGATTCAGTGTAGATTTATAGCAGAGTATAGGTAGATTCAATGCAGTGTAGATTCAGAGCAGAAGAGATTCAAATCAGGGTAGATTCAGTGTAGATTTAGATCAGTTTAGATTAATTTATAGCAGAGTAGAGTCAGAGCAGATTCAGAGTAGAATAGAACTAAGGAAATTCATGACCAGAGTCGAATCACAGCAGAAGAGATTCAAAATAGAGCAGATTCAGTGTAGATTTAGAGCAGAAGAAATTCAAATGAGAGTAGATTCAGTGTATAGATTCAGAACAGTGTAGATTTATACTAGAGTAGATTCAGAGTAGTGTCGATTTTGACCAGTGTATATATGTAGATTCAATGCAGAGTAGATCCAGAGCAGATTCAGAGTAAAATAGAACTAAGGAAATTCATGACCACAGAGTCGATTCAGACCAGAAGATATGCAAATTAGAGTAGATTTAGTGTAGATTTAGAGCAGTGTAAATTCAAAGTAGAAGAGATTCAGTGTAGATTCCAGAGCAGAAGATATGCAAATTAGAGTTGATTTAGAGCAGTGTATACAGATTCAAAGCTGAACAGATTTTATAAACTAGATTCGAATAGATTCAGTGTAGATTCAGAGCAGAAAAGATTCAAATCAGAGTAGATTCGGTGTAGATTTAGAGCAATGTACCTAAATTCAAAGTAGAAGAGATTCAGTGTAGATTCAGAGCAGAAGAGATTCAAATCAGAGTAGATTCGGTGTAGATTTAGAGCACTCTATATAGATTCAAAGCTGAAGAAGAGATTTTATAAATTAGAATAGATTCAGGGTAGATTTAGAGCAGATTCAGTGTATAACAGAACTGAGGAAATTCACGACCAGAGTTGATTTAGAGCAGAATAGATTCAATTTACACATCAGCCTACTCTGTATAGATATAAGTATTATATGTACCTATATATAACATTAATAAACATTAAAATAAAGGCGTACGCCACTGGAAAAATCCCGAAAGAAAAAATCCGGTAGCGATTTTAAGCCGAAAAGGATTTCACGCTACATTAGATCTAACACGGAGGAACAAATATTATATACGGGGGACGGACGAGAAGATGCTCCAAGCAGTATATAAATACCTATACTTATAGTGCTATATGGGTATAAAGATACAGATATAGAGCCTATTAGAGCCTATATAGAGATAGAGCGTATTATACAGGTAAAAATAACCGGTATAGGTGTGTAAAGAAGGGTGGTTATTATACGGGGGAATCGGACGGAATGCGAATGAATATATAATTATAGGTTTATATACTAGAAAGTTCTTGTGGATTATTTATGGGATTCCGATTCTGTTAAAATCAAATCGATAGATAGTTAAAGAGAAATAATGTTAGATATAACTATACAGTGTGTCCACGGATGGGGTTGCCTATAGGAGAAAAATTTTTTTTATTCATTTTACTACAAAAAGTCATTCTTTATAAAAAAAATTTAAAAATGAGAATAACACTGAAAAATCTTAGATTGGATCTACAGGGTGTTGCCAAATTAAGAAAACATGAAAATACCTCAAGGGTGGAATACCATTATTTTTTTATTTTACACAGTTTTTTTTATAAAAGAAAGTTGTTTATAATCTAAAATAAAGCCTGAATACAAATTTTTAAAACTTAAATTCAAATTTTTTGTGTCCACAGATAAAGTTGACCAGATAAGAAAAATGATTCTTTATAAAAAAATTAACTTGTCGAGAAAATGAGATTCACATATCAAAACATTAGATAAGATGTATAGGGTGTTAGTAAATTAAGAAGCAGGAAAAAATTTCAAGAAAGAACGAAATAATTTTTATTATCTTACACATTTGAAAATTTGTATTCAGGCTTTATTTTAGATTATAAACAACTTTCTTTTATAAAAATTTTGTGTAAAATAAAAAATAATGGTATTCTTCCCTTGAGGTATTTTCATGTTTTCTCAATTTGGCAACACCCTGTAGACTCAATCTAAGATTTTTCAGTGTTATTTTCATTTTTAAAAGAAGCAATAATTTTTATAAAGAATGACTTTTTGTCGTAAAATGAATAATAACAATTTTTCTCCTATAGGCAACCCCATCCGTGGACACACTGTATACTGTTATAATACAGGGTGTCCCAATGAAATGTATAGCCCCTTTGATGAGATTAAATCATAAAAACATAAGGTTTTCTCAATCTTTTATTTTATTAAAAGTTTTTTTAAAGTGATGCAGAAATTATGCATTTTACCAATACAGGGTGTTTTCTCCTCATTCTAATCTCCTCATTTAAATTGTACAGTAACCAATTTTTTGTAAATCGAACACCCTGTGTACAACAAATTGTATTATTTTTAGTAAGATGTCCCATTTCATAAAATTTGATTAATGTGAATTTAAAAGAGGGCATTTTTATGAGACACCCTGTATAAAAGTTATAGTAAAATAAAATATATTTTAAAGAGGCTATACTTTTCATTGGGACACCCTGTATAATAATTATTTATTTACCTATAGGTATGTTTATTTTTGTTGTATTTGATTTACTTTGATATAAAAATTGAGGAATTTTGTATTATTTATTTAATTAAGCAATAATTTTTAGTAATAATTTTATTTAATTAATCTATTTTTAAAGCTTATCCATTCTGTATAATGATATAAGAATGATGTCATTTTTAGTTATTTAAATGCATTTCTAATATTTTGATGATTATAAGAAAGAATCTTCTTAGAAAGAATTCTAAAACGGCGTTCTAAATGGTTTTAGACAGTTCTAAAAATGATTCTGGAGCGTTCTAAACGGTTTTAGAGATTTCTAAATGGTTCTGGAGTGTTCTAAATTATTATAGACAACAGGGAAAGATTTTATTAGAAAAAAAGCTTTTCTAATATCATAATAATTTTCTATATTATTATTATGGATATATTAATTAATAATAATTATAAGAATAATTATTATGGACGTGGACGTCATTGGAAATAGTATACAAAATTAATTTTTGTCGCCCCCCCTCCCCAAAATAAAAGTGTTTTAATAAATGATGGGCAAATTTCAATAAAATGTCAAAAGCAGTCTCAAAATAAAACTTGTTGAATGGAAAAAAATTGTTTTGGTTTTTATTTTTTTACGCGAAAATGGTGTGTCCTACGAAAGTTAATCTTCTGATCGAATTTGCTCCAAAATTAATGAGGATTTTAAAAATAATTTTAGTTTTTAGAAAAAACAGTGGCGTACCATTTTTTTCTTCAAACATATTCAGTTCAAATCCCGCACGAACGTCACTGGTAAAAATTTTAGAAAAATCTTTCGCTTCAAAAAATGCTCCTTAATAATTAAAAAGTGTGTACAAAATTTCATAAAATTATCTGGTGTAATAAGAAAATTATAATAGAAAATTGATTTTTTTCCCAAAATTTTAACACCCTGTAGCTCAAAAACTAAGAGATTTAGGACATAATTTGATATAAACATTTCTTCTTAAAATCATCCAAATATTCACACCCTGAAGTATCACCACTCAATTAATTAGCACCCTGTATATAAATATTAATACACCAGATAATTTTTAATAAATTCTCATGAAAAAAACTCAAAAATTCGCTATACTTATTTACTATTCTCATTCTATTTATATCGCTATAAATAATATCAAATTCATGTCTCATATATCAACACCAAAAATCAAAACTTCCCTATAAAATACACTAAAAAAAACAACCAAAAATAGCTAATAAAACTCAAAAATTCGCTATACTTATTTACTATTCTCATTCTATTTTTATCGCTATAAATAACACCAAATTCAATTCTCATACATCAACACCAAAAATCAAAACTTCCCTACAAAACACACTAAAAAAACAACCAAAAATAGCTAATAAAACTCAAAAATTCGCTATACTTATTTACTATTCTCATTCTATTTTTATCGCTATAAATAATATCAAATTCAATTCCCATACATCAACACCAAAAATCAAAACTCTCCTATAATATACCCCAACCAATACTTCACACAATCACAAAACGCACATCCACACATCCCCCCGTCCCTCCCCTAAAACAATCCAACAAACCCAAAAAAAAACCCCAACCAAAATTCCCCATAAAACCCCGTCCAAAAAACCCCCATCTCATCCACTCATCTCTCCTCGACTAAAACAATCCAAACACAAAACCATAAAACAAAAGCCACGCACGCACCTCAATCCCCCCCACATACACACACACATCCCCCCCTCACTCCCTTCACCAATCACCGACCAATCCCCCATTTTATCCCTCTAACCACGCCCCCCGCCCGCCCCCCTCCTCCTACCCATCGCCCCACCACCGCCACGCCCTCTTTAGCACAGCGCATGCGCCGGCTCCGCCCCTTTCGCAACGCGCCAACGCCAACTCGATCCGGCCCCGAACTAACGTCAGTCCGGCACGAACCTCCGGTATATCAGCGTGTGCGAGTGCGAGCGTGTGGTTGCGCGCTTCTCTCTCTCTCTCTCTCTCTCTCGCTCTCGCGCGTTTTATTTGCGTTCAAAGAGAGATAGAAGAGAATAGAATTTTTTGTATAAACGCGAGTATAGTGCGCACGCGCCGGCCCTGGAATATAATTTTTTTTTGTTGTTGTTGTTGTTAGTGAACCACCGAAATATATAATACAACATATATATACAAAGTGTTCACGGTATTAGTTTAAACCTACTAAATCTAGTTACCTTATACATGTTTGTTTTCTATAATATACTATAGTGAAGTGGTTTTTTTTTGTTTATAGTATAATCTAAATTAAATAATCTGTTAATTAGATTATATAGTTGGCTCTGTGCTGGGGTGTTTATAGTATAGATATATATATATATTGGTATATATCTTTAGTAGGCGTATTGTAATATACCGGGTGTTTCGTATGGTGATGTCAGAGACGGGGGGACTGGCAATGCACCAGTTACCAATGCATCACAGGGGTTTGGGGATGGTGCAGCCCAGTTTGGTGGTGAATCCGCACCCGTTGGGTGATTCTTGTTCCGTGGAATCGCAGAACAGTAAGTTTTTGAAATTGTGTTTTTTTTTTATTTGTTGGTTTGACCTCGTATAGGTATGTAGAATAAGACGGATGTTTTGAGTTATGAAGGTACATGATAGAGGTTTTTAGTAGATATGTTGCGGTTTGTTTTATTTATTTATTGATTAATCCTCGTATAAAAATTGTGTATAAAACGCGAATATGTTCGGATAAAAGTTTTTCTGCAACTTGACCTTCTTTTGTATTTTATTTATTGATAAACCCTCGTATAAAAATAGTGTATAAAACGCAAATATCTTGGGATAAAAGTTTTTCTGCAACTTTACCTTCTTTTGTATTTTATTTATTGATAAACCCTCGTATAAAAATTGTGTATAAAACGCAAATATATTGGGATAAAAGTTTTTCAGCAACTTTACCTAACTCTTGTATTTTATTTATTGATAAACCCTCGTATAAAAATGGTGTATAAAACGCAAATATATTGGGATAAAAGTTTTTCTGCAACTTTACCTAACTCTTGTATTTTATTTATTGATAAACCCTCGTATAAAAATGGTGTATAAAACGCATATATTTTCGGATAAAGTTTTTCTTCAACTTTACCTACTCTTGTATTTTATTTATTGATAAACCCTCGTATAAAAATAGTGTATAAAACGCAAATATCTTCGGATAAAACTTTTTCTGCAACTTTACCTTCTTTTGTATTTTATTTATTGATAAACCCTCGTATAAAAATAGTGCATAAAACGCAAATATCTTGTGATAAAAGTTTTTCTGTAACTTTACCTAACTCTTGTATTTTATTTATTGATAAACCCTCGTATAAAAATAGTGTATAAAACGCAAATATCTTCGGCTAAAGTTTTTCTGCAACTTTACCTTCTTTTGTATTTTATTTATTGATAAACCCTCGTATAAAAATAGTGCATAAAACGCAAATATCTTCGGATAAAGTTTTTCTGCAACTTTACCTTCTTTTGTATTTTATTTATTGATAAACCCTCGTATAAAAATAGTGCATAAAACGCAAATATCTTCGGATAAAGTTTTTCTGCAACTTTACCTACTTTTGTATTTTATTTATTGATAAACCCTCGTATAAAAATAGTGCATAAAACGCAAATATCTTCGGATAAAAGTTTTTCTGCAACTTTACCTTCTTTTGTATTTTATTTATTGATAAACCCTCGTATAAAAATAGTGCATAAAACGCAAATATCTTGTGATAAAAGTTTTTCAGCAACTTTACCTAACTCTTGTATTTTATTTATTGATAAACCCTCGTATAAAAATTGTGTATAAAACACAAATATTTTGGGATAAAAGTTTTTCTGCAACTTTACCTTCTTTTGTATTTTATTTATTCATGAACCCTCGTATAGATATAAAACAAATGTCTTTAAAATGTATATAGCTTGTTTTCAGTCAGTTCACTCTTTTCTTTTATTTATCATTGAACCCTCGTATAAACAAATAATCTTAAAATGTAACTTTTTAGTATATGTTCACTGTTGTATTTTCTTTTATTTATTGTAGAACCCTCGTATGAAACAAATATTTTCAAATGTTAACTTTTTTAGTAAGTTCATTGCACTCTTGTATTTTCTTCTATTTGTTGGTAAACCCTCGTATAGAAATAAAACAAATATCTTTAGATATTAGATCACAGTTTTTCATTCAATTTATTCTAGTATTTTCTTCTATTTATTGATAAACCCTTGTATAAATTATAATTCAAATATCTTCATATATTAGAACACAGTTTTTCATTGAGTTTATTCTTTTATATTTTCTTCTAATTATTGATAAAGACTCGTATCATAAACAAATACATATGTTTAAATGTAGCTTTTTAGGTATTTTACTCTTGTGTTTTCTTCTATTTATTGAAGAACCCTCGTAAAAATATAAAACAAATTAAAAAAATTAAATAGCATTTTATTGACTAAAAAAATTGGTTTTTCTTCTTTATTTTCCCTGTATATTAAGCTAGAGACGTGAAACTCGGGGAATATTATTTATAAATGAAAATACACGTTTTGAAATTTTTTCAACCCCGAAGTACGCTTAGAAGGGGTTGAAATTGTCAACCCCTAAGACATTTTTTCATAAAACTTTTTCTTGGATGGAAATTTTTCTTTTAAAAAAATATGACCGAAAAGCCCGATTCGTTTACCAACTTTTTTATCTCTACAAGTTTTTTTGAAAACTCAAGCATTTACGAGAAAAAAAATGTATTGCAAGCTCATGTTAAATAGCATTTTATTTAACAAAAAATTTTCTTTTTTATTTTCCCTGTATATTAAACTAGAGACGCGAAATTCGAGGGATATTATTTGTACATAAAACTGCACGTTTCGACATTTTTACAACCCTAAATCACACTATCTATTTATCGTTGAACCCTCGTATAAATAAAACAAATATTATCTTCAAATGAATAAGCTTTTCAATAAGTTTATTGTTGTATTTTCTTCTATTTATTGATAAACCCTCGTATATAGCTCGTACAAATAGCTGCAAATGAAGCTTTTTTTTATCGAATTTTCTGTACATTATACATATCGAATTAACCCTGTAATTTGTATATTTTATATACCTACTAGATATTATTATATAAATAAAAATTTTCAACTAACATATATTTTATACATATACCTAGCTATTTTAATATCTATAAAAATTTATTTATTTATTTTTATTTCGAAAAATAAGTAAAGTACATAATTGTTTTGGCATAATTATAGGCATAATTAATAATTATTTCGCCTAATTTCCGAGTAAACAATTTATTTTATCACACCTGTATTTCACTGGAACATTAATCACTTGACACTAAATTAGTGCGTATACTATTATCTAGTTGGCTTATCTAAAATGATAAATTAAATGGAATATTATTTTATTTATTTATTTATTTATTATTTTTTCCGAACCATAAAGTCTTGTAATGCCTAATTGTTGTAATAATAGGCAATTTCGTTAATGTAGATAGGAGTAATAATTTTGCATTTGGATAATTTATGTTTCCTGCATGGCTGTAAACAAAATGTTTGTTTAAATAATTTATATACAGGGTATATCTAAATGGCAGGAAATAACAAAAAACGAAAAAATTTAAGGGGTGATTCTGTGATGAAAATTAAGGTGGGTGCTTGGTATAAATTTTTTTTAAAAAACCCTCCCCTAAAAAGTTTTTTTCCCCTCAGAAGATTGGAAAAAAATGAAAAAAAAAAGAATATTATTTTTTAATGAAACTACACATTTTGAAATTTTTTTTAACCCCGAAGTACGCTTAGAAAGGGTTGAAATTGTCAACCCCTTAGACATTTTTTCTTACAACTTTTTTTTGGATGGAAATTTTTCATTTAAGAAAATATGGCCGAAAAGCCCGATTCATTTAACAACTTTTTTATCTCTACAAGTTTTTTCAAAAACTCGAGCATTTTCGAAAAAAAATATAAATGTACTGCAAGGTCATTTTAAATAGCATTTTATTAATCAAAAAATGGGTTTTTTTCATACAGACACACCCTGTATAACTTCATTTTTTAATGAATAAATAGGTTTATAAAGAAACAAAAAAATAATTAATAAATTGGAATCTAAATAAATTATTACAAATGCTGCTAAAAAAAACAGTAAATTTTTGGAAGTAGAAAGTTCAAAAATTCTGTTCAAAATTCATAAAAATAAAATCTATATTAGACATATTTATTTTTAAACCTAACCGGTGACTAATACCTATTCCATCAAATTCTCTTATTTTCATTTATATTTTTTTTTTCAAAAATTTTTCCAATTTTTTTATATACCAGGGCCTCGCAATATTTTATAGGACAATAAAGCTAGCAATTACGACATTATTAAATATTCCTACACACACACACACATATTACACGGAATGCTGCGATTTTTTTATTATTATTTTTTATTATATTCTTTTTATAATCTTTTACTATCCGCACAATTTGAATAACGCAACGATTTATATGGCTAATTTATGGCCCGTTTTATGGGGACCTCAACAAAAAAAAAATATATATAAACGAGTCATCAACCAGGATAACTTTTTACCTGCCTTGTTTTTAACCGTTAAAAGCAACATAAACCTACCGCAATGTACTGTTAACTATTCGGTTATTTTGATTAATAATTATTGATCAATCCTTGTAGAATTCTATAAACGAAAAACGATGGAATTTTTGTGTGCATTTAGGTGTTTAAAAATATATTCAACCTGCCTGGTATAATAAATAAAATGATATGTTAGGATAACTCTATTATAGGGTTAGTTCGATAATTATAGTATTTTGTATATAGGACTTGAAAAATAGGTAGGTATTTTTATTAGATATATTATTGAGAAAATTGAAGAATAAATTAAAATAAATTTAATTAAATCGTCAAAAAAATGATAAAGAATATAAACCTACCGCAAATTACTGTTAACTATTCGGTTATTTTGATTAATAATTATTGATCAATCCTTGTAGAATTCTATAAACGAAAAATGATGGAATTTTTGTGTGTATTTAGGTGTTTAAAAATATATTCAACCTCCCTGGTATAATAAATAAAATGATCTGTTTCGATAACTCTAATATGGGGTTAGTTCGATAATTATAGTATTTTGTATAGGACTTGAAAAATAGGTATTTTTATTAGATATATTATTAAGAAAATTCGAGAATAAATTAAAATAAATCTAATTAAATCGTTATAAAAATTATAAAGAACATAAACCTACCGCAAATTACTGTTAACTATTCGGTTATTTTGATTAATAATTATTGATCAATCCTTGTAGAATTCAATAAACAAAAAACGATGGAATTTTTGTGTGTATTTAGGTGTTTAAAAATATATTCAACCTCCCTGGTATAATAAATAAAATGATCTGTTACGATAACTCTAATATAGGGTTAGTTCGATAATTATAGTATTTTGTATAGGACTTGAAAAATAAGTATTTTTATTAGATATATTATTAAGAAAATTCGAGAATAAATT